TGGAAGCGCCGCTTCCCTCGTATTCTCAAAAAAATAAATACATATTAATTTTAATTATATGAAAATAATCGCACAATATTTTATTATAACCGCATTATGTATCTTATTACAAATTTCTATACTACACGTGAAAAAAAGATAAGATTGCTATTGTATATTCGAATATTAGTGGCGGAGTGGAAGCGCTGTATTGTCAGCATCAAAAAAGCCAGATTCACGCATGCGCTTTACAGAGCACCAACCTCCGGGGCCGTATTCTGGTCACTTATCTCTCATCTCTTCTTTCACCGACGAATGACGTCAAAGCGAGAGACGAAATTCGTCTCTTATACACAGTGGCGATTCTGGTCATTCGTAACGATCTCGTCTTTGTTGTTGACGTCACGATTCTATTCGGTTGATTATACATGTTCGGGTTATCTGCGCGCGCAACACGGTATAGAATTTTAAGCAATGAAATTGTAAAATTTTCGAAAGTGCGGAGTATGTAATCATAGATCACGTGGCAAGGAAAGCACGTGTTCAAATAATGCATGTAATTTTTCGACGAAGTAATTATTTTTTTTAATGTTTTATAACGTTTTTAGATTGTAATGTCAATTTGTCTCTTTTAACAAATTAAAATTTTAATAACCTAAGTTAGAAAAGCGTGAGTTCTTAGATATTTTTCGAAATATTGCGATCTAATTTCTTCTTAACTATCTAAGTAAGATTAGCATCATATTCGACAGTTCAGTAATTGATGTAGGATAATTAAAAAAACAAAACAAAATTGGAATCAGTGACGTTTCCGAGTAGGTGCTGGAAAAAAATCAGGATTTTCTCTCTCGAAATATTCTTTCCCGAGATAGAGAACGTTCTCTAATACGATTGTACAGCGCGAGTAGCATCCAATCGTCCATATTGGATATAACGAATCGAGGCGAAAGACGAAAGAACGACCGAAAGACAACTATCCGCTCGTCTCTGATAAACGAGAGAATCGAAGAGAGAAAAAGTTGTCCAGAATCGCGTTATGAGAGACGCGATGATCTCTCGAGACGTAAACAAATGATCAGCCAATCAGCGATCGGCTTGTGAGAGACGACAGACGAGAGACGATGACCAGAATACGGCCCCCGGTTTAGCCGGTGGAATCCTAAGACCTCGGGTGGATGCTACACGTATAACGCATCCAATTCTAGCCAGGACCGGTTCTGGGCTGTTAGCCGCCCGCCCGCTAGATATTTGGCCGCCCTCGCCCGATTACGTGAATCGCGAGTAGATTTATAACTTAACCCAAACGATAAGAATTTACTGCTATGTTTTTATGATAGTTCTGTATAGTTGACATGAGTTTTAAAAAATCCATTAAAATATTTGATATTTTTATTCCGCTCTCCCATCTTATATTACTTACGGATTTCAATATTAAACCAGTGATATTACGATTTCGTATGTCATATCTTTAAGGGGATGTAGAAAAAAAACGTGTACAATTCTTGTATAATGTTAAAAAATTAACTGTTACTTTGGTAGCATCATTTACAACTAAATTTAATGAATGAGATGCACGAGGTACAGAAAAAGCTCTAGAATTTATTTTTCTTAAATTTACGATTTATGTATCCGTTGTCATAAAACTTTCCACTTTTTTCCCCGAGACTACAAATACAGTACTGTATTCAAGTACAAAGTAACCGGTTTCGACTTATTTCTACTTAAGAAGTAGTTAAATAATTAAGAAATTGGGGAATTAGGGACATAAATAAAACCCTGCTGAAAAAGATGGAATTTTACTTAAACCAAAGCTTAACCAGACCAATCTGTAGCTGAGTACAGTGGGGACTGATTTCTTGGTAATATTAGGCCCTATATTAGATAATAAAGACAGAAATTTTTCCAGTTCAATGAGAGTGACTGAAAAGTAAATTTTGGAAATTTATTATTATTAAGTTTAACATATTTAGATTTTTACAGCTATGGCGATAAACGTTTAAAATTTACAACAATCCTGTTGCGTCCTTTCAGATATACTAGTGATGCGACAAAAGTGGCATTTGACATTGATCGGTATCGGCACTCTCGGGATTTGGCAACTGCGTTTATGCATATACTGCAGGACTATCTCTGATTCCATCGATTAGCCGCTGGTAGGGAGCAATTTGACTAAGTGGATTGTTTTAAGATTTAAAAAGCAAAGAATATTTTATGTTATTTTAATGTATGTTTCTTTACAAAGCTATATTTAATTATAATTATCTTTAAAAGTATATTCATACAATTGAAGAATATTTTGTACCAGGTATATCCACCACACATTTTATTTCACCAAGTAAGTTTTTATAATTTTATTTTTTATTTTAGCCCTTATATCGTGGCTAGCGATTCGGAATGTAATTGTGATATTAAAACTTATGATACATTTAGCGAAGTCTATGGTTTTTACTGGCTTATCGAACAAACGAATACGAATGGACCCTAGACCATCATTGACGCGCAATTAACTGAATGCCCCTGGAAGTCGGCTTCTTACAGAAACACAGCTTCCCAATCATCAAATGCCACGGCACGCCACTGCCCAAAAACTATCTCTATCCTTGGTTTTCTATCACATCAGATATATCTTTTCCTGACATCACTGACCGCCGCATCAACGTCCTCAACAACCGCGCAAGAACCAACTCTTTGCTTACAAACCACTTTCTTGATACTCGCAACTTAATCTGCACCACTCAACCTGCAATACTCTTAATCTGCACCACTAACCAGAGCAAATACTGTCCAAACAAACAGTGCCGGCCCGAGGCAAGTTTTAGGATGGAGCGAGATCCTATTATGGCGGCCCCCTTGGATGCCCTTAATTTTTACTCTTTAATTTTCTTTATCACTGAGGCGCCCCCTAGGACTTAGCGCCTTGAGCGGCCGCTCTGTTCCCCCTATGGTAGGGCCGGCTCTGCAAACAAAGCAGACACAACCATACACCGCCTCAACAAGTGTTCGAAATTCGACAACATCAGGGGAAAAATCCTCTCCAATAAAAGTCTTACAAAAAATCATCTACTCAATATCAACGACGTTTCTTCTAGATCTTTCAAGTTCTTCAACTCGAGATCGCCATCTGTTTCTCCAACCAACTCCACTCGCATACCTGAAAAACAACTACACGGGGCGAAATAGCCAACGTAGCTAATGCCTAACTTCCCCGCCAGAGGGCGGCAAGCAAGCAAGCTTGAAATCGACACTTTTAAAAGTGTACATTTCAAATTTTACAGAGATTTACAATGTTCTAGAATTAAGTTTAAAATATAATTTGAAAATGGAATTTCTTTTGAAGCTCGGAAATAAAATAATTTAAAATGTAATTTTGAATGTTTCATTAAACATTTTAAGTAGAACTGTAGATCAGGGGTGGCCAACCTATGGCACATGTGCCCAAAGTGGCACGTTGAGAGAATCAATTACAGGTAACGTGTCATAAGATTACAGTTTATCGCCCATCTTTTTAAATAATTTTTTCGGTTTATCATGTGATTATCTTTTTTCAATCAGCTTCTTTACATTTATTCCAATTAAAGCACGTTCGTTTTATATTTTTAAAGATAATCATTATGATCACTATATGGCACGTGGACTCAAAACGGTTTGCCATCCCTGATTTAAAACAACTTATTTAATAATGATAAATTAAAAAATACTACTAACGAATTTATTAAATACTTTTATTTAGTTGTCATGGATCAAAGCAGTTCAATAAAAATTAAAGAAATGGGAAGTAATTTGTAAGTAATTCAGTCTAAAATCTTTATTTTAAATTAATTTATATTGTTTTCTGATAAAAATAGGTCTTATGTATTGGCCTTATGTATTTTCAACTGTCTGCTACTGTTAACTATACATCTTTTAAACACTCCTTTTAGGTAATTATCATGACTTTGGTGATATGAGTTTATAGATTTGCTAATAATAAAATTTAATATCCAATTGAAGAATTCAATATTTGTTTTGATTTTTATTATTAATGGTCTGATTATAATAGGATATATGTGTGGTCAAATTGCAGAAATGAATAAGACTGTCAGAAAATCCTTAGAATTTTGTCTCTTGGATAAGTAAAAAAGTCAAAAGAAGCATGGGTATATTTGCTTCTGAATATTCACAATGTCACTTCCAGTTAGATCTGATGCAACCAAAAAGGGATGTTGCTTTCTTTGTGCACATGCTCCCTGAATGTTGAGAACGAAGGAATTTGTGACGAAGAAAATGTATGAAATTGCTATCGGGCCACTGATAGTGCCACTCCAATGTGCAAAATATAAAAACTTATATTATTCCCAAAATGATTCATTCTACAATTTTATTAAATTTATTTATGTTTTATATAATTTTTATAAATATTTTATTCAGTTATTATTGATCTTCAATATTTATGTGAATTAAATATATTTTATTATGAAATTACACTGATTTACTATATAACTTTGCATAACTTTTACAAAATATATTATTTTTCTTAAAACTATCTTTCTTATAACTTAATTTAAAATTTAATTTTCAGTGAAATTACTGAACAAAAAGATGATTATATTACAAATACTATTAAGTTACTAAGAAAATGGGCAGAAGTCAATGCAACAGAAGATACTTTAGTCAAAGAAAGAAAGGTAATTTATTACTTCTATTTAAATTAGTATTATTGGGTTGCAGTTTGAAAATTGCATTCCCACTGTTGTTCATTTATCTGTTTCTCCTTTGTTAATCTCAAGAACGGAATTAGATCAATAAAAATTGAAACCAAATATAGAAAGCTTGGAGGCTGGAACCTCAATTAACTATACACAAACTTCTGATCTGTACTGGAAGTCACATGATTTCAATTCAAAATTTTCTTGAAAACAGAGTTAGATGACCAGCATGACTCAATTGTTACAGGAGAAGTATGATGTACAGGGGTACAGCACCACTAAAATCCAGATCAGACATGGAAAGCTTAGGGGTTGGAGATCTTGTTTAACTATGTACAAACTTCTGGTCTGGATGGAAGTTGTGATGGTTTTTTAAATTAAAAAATGATTAAAAATAGCAGCCCATCATAGTGATGATGATACAATAATTTTGAATTATTTTCCTTTGGTTTGTATACTTACAGTATATCTTTACTTCCGACTCTTAATAAAAATTAACAGAAAAAAAATTTAAATAATTTATTTAGTATTCAGTTTCAGAAGTTTATTTTATTTCCAGTTACTAGTTGTTTATAACATTATGATCCCATTGCTTTCTGTCTGATAATTTTACAAATTATTATTGAAATATATAATAATTTTTTAAATTTACCAATATTGATTTATCAGTATTTAAATTTATCAGTACAGTGGAACCTCGCTTAATGAGCATAATTCATTCCAGAATGTTACTCATAAAGTGAAACACTCATTAAGCAAAACAATTTTCCCATATAAATTGATGTAAAATAAATAATGCATTCCATGCCAAAAAAAGTACTCAAATATTTTATGTATAATGTTTATTCAAAGAAAATTATACAATATACATTGCTAAGGAGTGTTAATCATCATCATCTTTTCTTCTAGCATGGAATGAACCAACCTGGAATGCGAATTAGATTTGCAGAAAACAAAAAAAAATTGAAATACAGTGATTTTTAATATTTAATTATAGCCTTTACATAGCCCAAGAATTTTGCATATTGTTTGGTGTGTTTATTATATAACAAACTATGGTTGTTGATGTTTATATGTAATATGTGTGAACACAAGTTTGGAAAATGTGTGCTCACAAGCGACACTAAGATGCTGGTGGAATGAGTGCTAAACACAGACTGATGTAGCAAGTGCAATATCTGGAACTTCCCTTCTTCTTGTCACTCATTATGTGAATCATTTTTTTACAATGTTCTTTGCTTGTTATGCGAATCACTCATTATGAGAAGTGCTCATTAAGCAAGGTTCCACTGTAAATGATAATGAAAATTGATAAGAGTATTGTAACAGAGGAAAATACAAATGATCAAGATGACAAGTGATTCATGTTCTCTCTATTATGACATAAACAGAATTTATAATCTTAAAATTTTTGTCTGTACAAAAAGCTGATGAATAGTACACTTCTGTTATATTTCATTGTATATTTTGCTACTTTTATGTTATGCATATGTTCAGCAGTCACATTGTACACTGTCCTGTTGCTTACAGACAATACAGACTAATAAGATTATGATTTCAAATGAAAAAATTTTAAGTGTGCAATAATTAAAATATAAATAAGAAACATTTGTTTAAAATTATTTTTGAACTTTTTGATTTTTTGTATTTATTAATTAATCTCAGAATTTCCTATTTTTAATAAAAGGTTTATATAAAAAATAATCAATAGTTATCTGTCAGTATGCAAATTAGTCTATCAGTTCACTATTTTAGATTGATGTACTGTTAAGGAGAAGGATGTTTTTGTTCACTTTTCTTAATTTGTTTAAGCATGAATGAGGTGCTTTTTGTATTATGCAGGAGTGTGATATATTACATTCTCAATATTTTTTCAAAATAGGTAATAAAGTGTAGTTATTTTAAATGTGTTAAAAGCCAAGAAGGACAAGTAATGAAGCAATTTGCAGATGTAATTTTTGTAAATATGAACTAATATCTCAATGCATGGATTAAAGTTTATTTTTTGTTGTTTCCTTTAGGTTTGAATTTTGTAGGGTTGAGAAATTTTTATTATTATAGTTTTACCTGCAGTTTTTAAATGTGAATTGTTATTCTAAGCAAAGGAAAATAAGTAGCATTCCTTTAAATTGCATTCAAGTAGTAATAAGTAATGTTTTATTGTCTTTAATGTAACAAAAATATGTAATTGTAATAGTTTAGGTTAATCAGTTTGATTAATTTTGATTAGTGTGCTTCAATGTAACAAAACTAACAAAACAGCATTTAACTGTAATATTTTAGAAAAATTGTTCTTGTTAACTTCAAATAAATTTTGATTTTTGAATTGTTGATTTGTATGCTTTTTCAACTATGATGTGAAAACATCGTATATCACGTTGCAATGTCACACCACTAAGTAACACAATGTAACATGCATATCTACAACATAAAGTATCCACATTTTATTAATTATTATATGCTAATTTTATAACAGTAAGTTTGTTTAGTGTGTTTTAATAATTCAATTTTTTAATGAAATTTGGTTTAATTGATGAATGTACATTAGCTGAATTCTACAGAAAGTCAACCTATAGACAATTTTCTAATAACAAATAGTATCTAGTAAAAATGGGAGAAAGATGATTATATATATAATTTGAACTTCATCATTAAATTCAAGGATTTACTAATCTATATATATAAAAATGAATGTATGTGTGTGTGTCTGTCCTTCATGCATTACCACACCATTTATCCGATTGCAGTGAAACTTTGGGAAGTTGTTTAATATATTCCCACAAAGGTTTCTGGCATAGTACAATTGCCATTAAGCTTTGGGAAGGTTTCTGGCATAGTACATTTATCCCACGATAGATGGCACGCGTTTATACGAGCATTTCATTGTGTGCGCAATCGATTTCAAATTATGAAGACCATTTCCCCCTTCCAAAAAATATCTCCATACATGCATTTGTGAACTGTTATTTACGATATTTGTAATAATTTTTGTTTAATCACTTTATTTCAACTATTTTTTGCTAATTATGTATTTGCTTGAACTTTGTTAAAACCTTAACTGTATCCCAAACAACAACCGAAGTTGTAGGAGGAAATTCGCCTATTTCACCGATCTAGGGAAATAGATCCTTTTCCAAATTTTAATATCAACTCAAAATAATTTAAAAAGACAAATTACAATAAAACAGTTTATTATCCAACTATCAGAAATTTCACAACATGCCAAGGAAGAGAGGAAGGAGCAATTAAATAATTAAAATTGTAAAGGATTAAAAAAAATACATAAAAGTGGGGAATATCGTACTTCTGACAATCGCTGCGAGTGTGTGGGCTAGATTTGGAGAATCCGTGCTTCTCGCATGGACAACTGTATGTGGCCAGCTCACGTGTCGGAAAACCTGATTTATTCATGTAAGCAGCAGACGGAAAAACAAAAAATATAGTGTATCCACAAGCATTCCAATAAATAAATAGAATTGAAACGACACTTTAAAATGTTTTCCCGATGAAAATGAATAATAATAATAATAATAATATTATTATAATAAGTTTTAATAAAAATGATAAAATGTAAATTGAATTTTATCATAACGAGTTTGCTTGAATTTTGTTTCTTCTGAGATCTCAGAAATGTGCGATGGGTAAGCTAGTTGTATATAAATTACACAAGTTTAAGTTCCTTAGTAAAATTTAACATGAAACCATATGCATCTTTATTCAAAAATGTTCTGTAATTATTTTATTATTAATTAATTTAAATATTTTCATTAAAATATATCAAAATATTTCTTAAAATATTGTTTTTATTAAGTATTTTTTATTAAAACTTGAAGATTTATGAATTAATAGTAATTCATACAGTGAGTGAATGATATAAGAAATACCAGTAATTTAAACTATTGTACTGTGAACAAATGATGATTAAAATGATTAAGGTTTAGTATTTAGAGTATTTGTTATGAGTAATAGTGATAATTGATGATAATTGTATATTATCAACATTAGTAGTTTCCAGGCTTAGTGCTAGGCACTGGTACCATGTAGGACATAATCCACCAAAAAATAATTATAATTAATGAATCTGTGTTTTTAATTGTGTTAACATAGCCTTTTTTAACTCTGATGAGTGGGTTTACCAATGGTTTCCTCTCCTCCTTGAATGACCTAGCTTTTAAAAAATATAACATATACAAAAAAATAATAAACAAAATCACATTTTCTTGTTTGATTTGATTGTATTGAATAACTCCAACAATTCAGAAGACAGTGTGAGTATGAATGATTGCTATACACCATGTTTGACTTCATGCTAGAAAATGCTATGCTAAATCTTGCAAAACTTGAAGAGTATATATAGATATATTCTTCAAGTTTTGTAATATATATATATATATATAAATACATGCTTACAATTTAGAGCCCACCATTATATATTTATAATAATTATAGGAGTAGGCACCAAAGAAGATTTAATGTCAGAATCAATAAATAAATTATTTTCTTATCCCATTTAATAATAATAGTCAGTTGTTATATTAGTGTAGATGAGTCCCAAAATGATTATAATAAATAATGTCTATTTTTAACAAAATATTATACATTTATTGTTAAAATGATTAATAGTGAAATATAACCTATAATGATTGTTAAGTTCAGTGTAACATGTGTGAGGTGTGTGGATGTCGGCAGGTGGTGATGGACAGTCCACAGCTTGGTCACATATGTTGGTTGGGTGAGGTGACGGTGTCCCCGGGAGTGTGGGGGAGATTGTCCCACCTAGTTAGGAGTGTGTAGGGTGAGAGAGTGTGTGTACTGACCAGGGAGCTAACACAGTGAGTAGCTGTGTGGCTGGTCCAGTATTGTAACTTTCAAAAAATGGTGGAGTGCCAGAGAGTCACTCGCTGATTTGGAGAAATTAAAGTGTTTTTATTTTTTGTGGTTATTGTTAGAAAGAAGCGTGTACTGTGTTCTTTTTGACCATCTATACGAAAACATTCTACACCACCACCATCATCACAACATTTGTATACAACAATGATAATTATATTTAATAATCATTTAAGCAACTTTTATTTGTATTTTTTAACAAAAGTTATTTTTTATTATAGGAATTCAAAAAAAATATGCTACTCTTAGAAAAACGACATAAAGAATTTATAGAAAAAGAAAAATTATTTGAAGATTCTACCAAAAGATATGAAAAATTCCTTCAAGTAGGTTTTCTTTTGTAACTCCCTTCACTCGAGAATCATTTTTGTGAAAATTATACATATTTATATATATATTTGATAACAATCTGATCCTTCTATAGAAGGGGATGCAATCTCGACAATATCTTATATTTTAAATCACTATATATATATTAAATATGTACACACCTGATAATGTTTCCTTAGTTACCTGATCTCAAGTTCCCATCTCGGGGATGTTCAGTTTATATTCTGATTATACTTCAAGACTTTCATGGATGAGTCTTCATCTAAACACCACTTTCCATCCAAACAGGAGGAAAATTCAAAAATAAAGTCTTCAAGAGATTCTAAATGTTCAGATGTTTTGAAGTATAGTTGACCCCCCTATAATGTGGGTTCCTATAACAGAAATTCTTATAACGTAGCGAAAAAATTGTAGCAATATTCATATAAAGGAACTCCTAAAACGTTGTCGTCGACTCGTATCGCGACAAGATTGATAGAATCTGGACCAATAGTGGATGAGCAGCCGAACTACTTTCCTCCGCCCTGCGCCACGCTATGGATTGTTTAGGCGGCTAAATTGAGTTTGCTATCGTCTGTTTAGTATTATATATAAATTATATATAAATTAGGTACTGTACATATAATTATATATTAATTATATATAAATTAGCTACTGTATATATAATTATATATTAACTTAATTTATTGTAACTTTATTATAATTATATATATGCTTTCTGCCGCCTGGCAACACGCTACGGAGATTTTAGGCTAGTAAGTTGAGTTTATTATCGTCTGTACAGTATGTAAATTAGGTACCGTAAGTCTAATACAGCACTAATTTTATACATTTCTTGTGAAAGAAACATTTCTTATTCAATGGCCATAAAAATTATTTATATTAATGATGTCTCAAAGGTCAAGTTTATTTTTCTGCAAAAAATTCATTATCAGAAATCACGGCCGCTGTTTCGTGCGCTGTTCCACGACGAAAACAAGGTTGAGCAACAGCGTAGTCGAACGGTGCACACTCAGTAAGTAATCCTACAATTTTTTGTTTATAGCATAGTTTATACAGATTATTCCCAAAAAATTATACGTGTTTTGGAAATGTTGAGTGGAATTAGTCTAGAATCGGTTAATGTTATAGAAGAAAACCTTTCAAACAGCCTTAGTCCGTAAACTTCACACCTGTCGGGCTGCGATTGACTCATGTATTTAATGATTCCTACAACGTAAAATTTGATTAGCGTGGAACGTATCTAAGCGTTATAGGGGGGTCTACTGTATAACTTTTTGAAGCACTTGAGAAACTAAAGACCTATATAAACATATTGTGAACAATATGACCAGTTAATCATTGGGAAAGTGCTATCTATATTTGAGCTTATAAAAAGACTTTCCAATGTTTATCTAAACACACTGGATAAATACAGCACTAGTCAAGAAACTATAAAATCACTAGAAGATAAGATTATCAGTCAAAACCAAATAAGATCTTTTGCTAAAAATGAAAAATGAGAAAACAATGTATCCCACATTAAGTCCACCTAAGAAAGTCTACTACACTACTGCTAATATCTATAGATAAAATTATTACAGACAGAACTGCTGTTAAAAATAATCTGGAAAAAGTTTTGAAACCAGCAGAAAATGGAATTTGCATCAAAACTTGTATTATTCTAAATGATGGCAAAGTTGCATATAGTGACTGTGCTGTCAAGGCACTTGACATAATTCAAAAACGTGATAACTCTGATAAGATAAAAACTAAAAGAAAACCTCTAATTTTAGATTCAAAATGTTAATAAGATAGTTCAGATATCTTTGATATATTACTTCTCTCTATAATAAAAGATAGCTGAACATCATAATGTGATTGCAAAATACATATAATGTGATGAACTTAATTTGAGGAAATTATAACAACACATTACCAAATTAATTTAAAATAAAATATGAAAAATTAATAGTTAATTATAGAAACGCTTCAAGAAACCTACCAAAGTTAGCAGAGAAAATTTCAGGACAGTATTTGTGTTTTTGTGATAAAATTTTTCTTCATTCAATGATAAATTTTAAAAGTTTTTGTAGTTTGGTAATATAATGACACTTCATTTAGCTAAAAGTGATATTTTTATGCCGTTTTTTTCATTAAAATTTTATCTGTAATTTATAAGATCATTTTGTGATCTACAGGTAGAGAGCCTTATCATTACTTTTTCAATATAGTGCAATATAGACATTTAGGGAAAACAGTAGAAAAAACATATCAAAGGTTCTGTTACTAACTGTTGCTTCCATATCCAAAGGTGTTTATTATATGTTTTCAACTTCTGGACATTAAATAGGCAGAATCCAACAAAATACATTGCAAAGCATTTACCTGTTAATAACAGATCAGAAATAAAATTTAAATTACAGTACAAATGATTGAAAATCATTGGCAATTTAAATTTCTAAGTTTGTTATCAATGTGTTACGGGTTTGTCATCATTAGATCAATCTCAGAGAAATAAGAGAACTGGTACAGCTTATTTTTAAATTTTGTGATAAAAAAATTTTGTAAATAAATACATACATTATAGTTATTAAAAAGTGAAAATTCCCAATTATGAAAAAGTTCCCATATTAGGCAATTTTAAGTAGTTTTGAAAATGTGTTATACTGAGGGAAGAGAAACACACCATTTCCAATTAAGATATATTTATTGTAACGTAATCTTGTATGCCACTATGATCCAGCAATTTAGTATGTAGTAAAAGTAAAATATCTTTATATATGTTCAGTTAACCTTTTCTTTAACTTTCTTTTTGTTTCTCCAACATATCTATATTTTTGTAAACAACTAACTACATTGGAAGGATTATACTATCAATATATTTGTTTTGTCCAATATACTAGTGAACATTTCCTCTTTATTCTGTCTTAGAACTTTGTTAAGTCTGTTGGTTTGTTCTGGAATTAATCTAATACTTTTACTTTTGACAACTGTTTTTATCGTTTCAAATATTTTTGGAATGTAGGGTAACTTAAAATATTTATTATTATTTCTCTCAATTTCCAATTCATTTATTGTGTTTTCAGTTAATCATCTACTTAATAATACATTACATTTTCAAGAAAATTTTACTGGTAGGATGTTTGATTTATAATTACTAAGGAAATTATATTGACAATTTATGATTAATTAGATTTATTGATATTATAGGAAGAATTTAATAAGTTGAGGTTTAAAAGTCTATTCTGAAAATGTTGAAAGAAATATATGGATATATTAAAATATAAACTTGTAAATATAAAAGTATTTTACTTTTTAAGATTTTTTTTAAAAAATGAATGTATAAATTAATGTGTAATTTTTTAAATTATAATTGGAAAATGGTAACGTCTGCTGAGGAGGAGCATTAGCCTAAAATGCTGGATCATAGTGGCTTACAAGATTACATTACAATAAATATATCTAAATTGAAAATGGTGTTTTTCTCATACTTCAGTATAACAAGTCCTAGTTCACAAGGATATCCAAAGTGGACACAAGCTTATTATAATTAATTGAGGACAAGAAGCACGTATTAACATTATATAGACTCTCACCTACATGTCAAATTTCCAGCAAAACACCCAAATTCAGCATTCGAACATTTTCGACCACTCCTTAATTGGCCTTCATCAGGAAAAGTCAAATGAAAATAACTGTTCTATTTATAGAATGTTTCTGTGTTGCACACGTAATTTTTAAAAATCAGTTTGAATAATGGCTGTGACGTATATTCCTTTAAGAGTCTAAATAATATTTCCATTCATTTAGTACAGGAATGTAATCCATGTTGATGCATGCTCCTCTTATGTCGGCCCTGTAGATTTCTGTGGCCTTGAATGTTCTTATGTGTTGTCTGTCAAATACCCTGTGTAGCAGGGTAGCCTCCTCCCATAAGGGGGAAATTCCCGGCTTGGTGGCATACCACGCCAGGGTTGTATTGATGTTTCCTTTTGCCACATCATACTTGTGATCTCATAACTGGGCTTGTCTCATCTGTATGTGGAACCAATGTATGTTAGTGTCCTGTTGAACTTGTCATCCTGTAGTGGGATGTGGTAAATCCAGATGCTTTTGTGTCCTCGGTTTCATTCTTTGCATTAGACAAAAGGCAGAACACAGTGGGTTTCCTTTTGTATGCTATGCGTATGTTTAATTCCTTGGCCATCCTCCTGTACATGTGATGGAGGGTGTTGTTGTTAATGTTAGTATTGGTGGTGATTGACCTGGCCACATTATAATCAAAGTTCTCCAACTTGAAGATCTGTCTTTATTGATTTTTTATCTATTAAATATTTCTCCACACTATACTCATAAATCTTTGGTTGATTTTATGTTTTGTTCTCTACATCATCAAAAATTTCATAACTACTTATCATTTTAAATATGTAGTATAAAAGCAGATGATGTACCTGATAATTTTAATTTACAAAAATATATTATAAACTTTTTGATATTTGCAGGATGATAATAGATAAGAACAGATTAAACATACCTGTTTTGCAATTAAATAAAGTTTTTGTTTCAATTTCTCTATCATAGTCATTAGGTTTAAATATTTAAGTTAGAGAGAAAATATAACTTAGTTTAAAGTTACATAGTTATTAGAGAAATTTATTTTATATTAAGAACATTTGGCATTAACTATATGCTATATTTTTTTATTGAAATGTAATGTATTCATTTATACAAATTTTCCAGGTATAACTATTTAAATTTTGTTTTAGGAGAATTCTGTAAAATTAGCTCAAGCTGCTAAAAAAAAAGAAGAGGAAGAGAATTGCCAAGCTAGACATACAACCCTAATAAATAGGTATATTTTAAAATTTTTTCATTTCGTAATTATAATATCATAACTTTTAGAAGTGAAAATTACATTCTACCATTGCATTCTAATATGAAATGGTCAGAACTAGCTGATTCAAAAGATAATTTTATTTTAGATATTGGTATTTTGGCTGTATAGAATCCACTGTCAACTGTTAAGAATTATTGATGATAAATGTTTAATACTAATCTTTGTCAATATAATATATAGGGTAGTCTGTTTGGGATGTCATAAAATTAAATATATGTAGAAAAATAAAGTAATGCTACTAGAGGTTTTTAAATGTTATATACATGGGTTGGAAGGATATTAGTTCCTGCTTAAACACTCAGTATGGCTGTCATGGTGGATGGTGCACATTTCATACTGGGCGGATATGTAATCATGCATATGCAAGTGATACGGAAACATTTTCAAGTATCAATGCATAATTCTCTGATGTATGCTGTATGGAATGTTATGTTACTGATAAACAACACGGCAAATTTGTGGACTTTGAATCATGGTCTGTCAAACATTTTCCTCTTTGTCCCTGTCATGAATTCTTCCTCTAGTGTGAGATAAAGTCAAACCCACTTGCAAGAACTTTTGGTACCATTTCACATTGTCTTGATGTGATAGAGCACGATAACACTCATAAATTCACCAGAACTCTTTCTGGACATAAGTCTCTTTCATCTCTCATATCATACTGTACAGTACACTAGGCACTCTATTGTGATGTGACTGCTATTTTGTATTTTCGTGCACATGTGCCATCATATGGCTGAATACCAAAATGAACATGCTTCATTCCAAAACTGACAACCTTCCAACACATTCATTTAATATTTAATGAATTCTAATTAATTTATTTTCTACACATTTTAAATTTTATTACATCCCAAATTGATTATCTGTACATTTTGTTTTATTATGTGATGATGCTAAAATGTATTATATAACTTGGTTGTGTGCAGGAATCTGTCATCATTACAGTCTTTTATATTATTTTGTTGATTTGCTTGTTTTGATTTTGCAGCTCTGTTATCTATTTGCTGATAACTACAATATTTTAGGATATTGTAATTGATTTACTTTCATAAAACTCTAAATTTAGTGTTAATAGAGTTCTTTTATTTTTACACAGTCTTAAAGAAGAAATACAACTTTTGCAACAGAAAGAAAATAAATTAAACCAACAAATTCAAAATTATCAAGTATTTCAAGAATTTGTAAGAAAAGTTGCTGATAGTAGCGGGGAGGTAAATTGAAATTTTCTCTTTAACATAAGTCAATTGAAATTAGTCATTATTAAATTCTACTAAATTTTACTACAAGTAGTTAGTGAATAGAAATCATGTTATTCTGATATGATAAAATAAACTTGGAAAACAAAATCAGAAATTAATGGTCTGTAAAGATGACCTTAGAGAAGCTGGCCAGTCTGAGCTGGGTGGTTCTGTCTCATCTACATTACCGACAGAGTTGGCACTAACTGATTATGGCCTTGCAGAACATATTGACAATATACAGTTCAATGATAATACCAGATGCTCGAGACCTTCTTGAAAGAAAAACCTCAGTCATTCTATGCTCATGGGATTGAAAGTTTGTAGCAAAGGTGGCATCTTGCCACCTTTTCTACAACTGTGTGATTACTGTGACTATGTGATTACTTAAAGACTTAACTGTAATCATTTACTGTGTGATTACTTAATTAAAGATTTAACTACAAGACTGATTACTTAAAGACTTAACTGTAATCATTGTTGAGTTAATTGTCAATGAAGTTTTTTCAAAATGTATAAATTTTATCTTTTACAACCTGATAAATTTAAAGTATATGCAAAGAAGCACATTTAGTGTATATTATGGCAAGCATTACAAATTATAAATGTTGGAGAAAATATTTAAATAATTTCTAAATAATATTTCTCTCAAAGTATGTAATACAGAAAGGATATTGATACAATATAAAAACCCTTGTGAAGATCAATAACATTTACCAATAGAAAGTTTAACACACATTGATAATTGTATTTTAGTGAGCAAACCATTATGAATGAACATCTTGAGTTTGATATTTTATTAAATTAAAAAAAATTTTTATTGTGGTATTTTTAGTTTTATTTTTCCTTCTTTTTTGTTTAGTGCCTATTATTATATCAATTGTTACAAGTGGGCATAATAGAAATTTATACATAACTTCAACTATTTTCATTATTGGGCTGCAATTTGAAAAAAAATTGTAGACCTATAAATTCCCACTGTCTGTTTGTCTTTCCTTAATCTCGAGAACAATGTTAGATAGATGAAAGTCAAGACCAGATATGGAAAACTTAGGGATGGGAGGCCCCAATTAACTATATATGAACTTTCTCTTTAGGCCAGAAGTCATGTTATTTCAATAAAAAAATTTTCTTAACGGAGTTAGATACATGACTGGCATGACTTCATTGTTAATAGGAAAAGTATGTAGTACAGCCTGATCTTCATGCCAAATGTTAAATAGATGGAAGGAAAGGTATGATGTACAGGGGCAAGACACTACTAAACTTAAATGCATTGTGATGAAAAATTGCAGCCAACATTGTGATGATGTCACAATAATTTCTTGTTGTAAATTTATTTTTATAATAATAATAAATTTTTTAAATAAATATGATTTTTGCAATGTTTTTGTATCTGTAAAATTATCTTCATTCAAAATGTAGTAATTTTTATTTGCAAATTGTATTTTGAATTAAATTTCTCATGAAATAGATATCTTTATTCTAATAGTATGATTATGTACAGTACATAATTATGACATCAAAGTTTCTAGTATGTCATTCTAGTATTAAAGTATGACATTCTAGGAATTTTTAAAAATTTTCAAATAACAAATGAGATAGTTCCACTTGTGTGATTTCAAATAGTAAGCTGGGATTCTAAATTACAGATTTTTCACACAAGTTTACTGAATGTAATACCCACCATATAATTTCATACATAAAAGGGTATTAGAATTAACAAAATTTTATTAAATTCTGTATCTGGACTGCTGTATGTTACTATGTATATAATTCGTCTCTGTAATCCAAAAGGTTTTTTGGTAGACGGACTCACAGCAAAACTTTTAGTTAGGAACTCACTTTTATTCTTTAAAAAATGACATATGCATTTCAGGTTGGTATACTCATCCAACCCCTCTTCAGTGCTAATTTTTCAAAAAACAATAAAAAGCTACAATAACCAATATATGACACAAATACATTACAAAATATTACTACTTACTTACTCTTAAAGTAAAAGTTGCATATGGGCTACCATTACATCTAAACACCAGCCATTTGTTTTCCATTTAAAATGCACTTGAAGTGTTTGCATAACATCACTTCTAAAAACCAATACACATTATGACTATACTGTAAACTTAACAAGTGTATACAATAACCAATACGTTACATACCTTTAAAATATAGATAGTATACGAACAATCAAACCAACTAGCAATACATTAGAATACCACTTTTAAATCAATCGCAATAACTTCATTATTTTATTACTATATAGCGCCCTCTATCATTTTGTACCATCTAGAATCTATTTGCATCCCATCAGAAATATTTATTAAATTATTTTGGTTTTTCTTAATTTCTAAGTGTTCTTTAAATTTACGTTTATATATGTCCTTTTCATGGTGTAGAATTTTAATATTATTGCGATTAATTTTACATTTATTGTTTTCCGTGTGTTCGTACCATGGCGAATTTTTATATCTCAATCTGATAGCCGCTTCGTGTTCCTTTATTCTTACATCTAATACCCTTCCAGTTTCACCTATATAACTACATGGGTTCATACAGTTACATTCTATTTTGCATACAATACCAGTCTTTTTTAACGGATCTATATTATTAAGGTTACTTCTATTAATATATTTAGAAACAAAGAAACATCTTTGACCAATAAGATTACAAATAATGTTTCTAAATATATTAATAGAAGTAACCTTAATAATATAGATCCGTTAAAAAAGACTGGTATTGTATGCAAAATAGAATGTAACTGTATGAACCCATGTAGTTATATAGGTGAAACTGGAAGGGTATTAGATGTAAGAATAAAGGAACACGAAGCGGCTATCAGATTGAGATATAAAAATTCGCCATGGTACGAACACACGGAAAACAATAAATGTAAAATTAATCGCAATAATATTAAAATTCTACACCATGAAAAGGACATATATAAACGTAAATTTAAAGAACACTTAGAAATTAAGAAAAACCAAAATAATTTAATAAATATTTCTGATGGGATGCAAATAGATTCAAGATGGTACAAAATGATAGAGGGTGCTATATAGTAGTAAAATAATAAAGTTATTGCGATTAATTTAAAAGTGGTATTCTAATGTATTGCTAGTTAGATTGAGTGTTCGTATGCTATTTATATTTTAAAGGTATGTAATATATTGGTTATTGTATACACTTGTTAAGTTTACAGTAATGTCATTATGTATAATGGTTTTTAGAAGAGATGTTATGCAAGCACTTCAAGTGCATTTTAAATGGAAAACAAATGGTTGGTGTTTAGATGTAGTGGTAGCCCATACACAACTTTTACTTTAAGAGTAAGTAAATAGTGATATTCTGTAATGTATTTATGTCATGTATTTGTTACTGTAACTTTTTATTGTTTTTTGAAAAAGTAGCACTGAAGAGGGGTTAGATGAGTATACTAACCCGAAATGCATATGTCATTTTTTGAAGAATAAAAGTGAGTTCCTGACTAAAAGTTTTGCTGTGAGTCCGTCTACCAAAAAACCTTTTGGATTACAGAGACGAATTATATACATAAAATTTTATTATTAATTTTACACAAAGTTTAAAATAAAATTTTAGTAATAATTTGATAAATGTAGATGTATGTATTTTTACAATTACATATAAGATGAAACTTTTGTCAATATCTTTACAATAATAGTGATCTTTCACAATCTATTAAACTGAACAGTGGCTAAATTGATTAGTACAACAACAATTAATGTGTTAATAATCTGTTTTGGTTTGCTTTTTTAAATATTATATATGTATATGAAAGGCACTCAGAAAGTTCCTGGAAAGTGGTTATTTGTAAACAGAATGCTCTATTTATAATTAATTGATGTGAACATAAACTTGTTTTATCAGGTATAATCTATTACAAAACAATTTTAAGAAAACTGCATGCAGCTTGAAAAGAAAATCAACCTGTAAAAACTCATCAGTGTGTCTTGTTCCATGTACTGGCTCAATGGCGAGATCTACCACAGTAGTAGTGTGCAAATACCGATGAGAGATTTTACCCACATCAGACCTAGCTTCATCAGACTTTTTTCTTATTCCCAAATTTTAAAAAAAGACATTAAAAGCTTTTGCTGACAGTCAATATATCAGGTGAAACATTTTGCAGTACAGTGGCTAGAATCAAAGAGCATTGATTTCTATCAGAGAAGCTTAAAAGGGTAGCAACACCATGTGGAAAAATGTTTTAACTTTATTTTTCAACATTATATTCCATTTAAGTGTTAGATTCAATTTACTGTCATTTTATTTACATTTTCCAGGAACTTTTTGAATGTCTCATACATGATGTTCATTAGAGAGTTAAAATATTCATTACTTAACTGAAACATTAACTATGTATTAGTTTTATGTTTTTAGAGATATTAGTAAATAATTAAAAAAATTCAATTTTATTTTAGTTTAGTACCGTTAATGATGTGGTAAATCGATTTGAAATACTGATGATTGTGTTAAAGGTAAGTTTAATTTTGTTTAAAATAATTTATTTAATTAATTATCTCATTTTCAATTTCTTTTAAAATTGTATTGATTATATTTACTTACGGAAAATTAATATTTTATAAACAGTTCTATTCAATTGTTGATTTGTGTGGTGAATGAAATCATTGTTGTTTGGGAATTTAATAGTTATTTTTTTACACAACTAGAAGTATCATGCTTGGAATATTCATGAAGTATTGATACACTTGGAAGATATAAACTTTTCACATTAACTTCAACCCCACCTACAATAGGCTCCCTTTCTATCTGACCAGTGGGATGGTGGCATTTGAATAGGAAAATTACTTATTTTGTGCTCACTGGTAACTTATGTTTTTGGGATTTTCAAGGGTGCTGAGTTTAAATATTTGCTCCATTTTTTGCAATATTTGATTGGTTGATCAATTATCATTTCATATTTGGCAGAATGGTATATTAGAGATAACAGAAGAAATATATATACAAATATAGCTAAATTTTTGCATTTCTTCTATTAGTGTATGCTTACATGTAAATATACTGTATTTTGAATGATTGTCTTTGTTGTTGTTTATTTATGGACATACAAAAGGACACTGAAACTATAACCATTTATAATCAGATTAATTTTCTATGTTAAAAATTTAAATCTAATTTGAAAATTTTCATCAAGCTAAAATTTATTTGATTGATGGATAATCAAATAAATTAATTTTCATATTTTCAAAATAAATTGATGTATCAATATTTATAACTTATTTATTAAATAAATTTTTAAAATATTTGGAAGTTTTCATTTGCTTACAGGAACTTTCAGAACAAGGAAGACTTTTCAATGAAGAAATTGAGGCAGAAAGATCTCAAATGATGCAATATATAGAAGTATGTTATACATTAAACATAAAATATAAAACTAACATAGTTACAGTTTAAGTGTTTTAAAATTTTATGTGAATAATTTATAAAACAATTTTTCTCTTACACAAATTTTTCAATTTTTAATAAGCATATAACTTTTTGGTTTATGCAAATTTGGCCATAGAATAATTAAGAAAGAGATTAATTATTTTCTATTGACTTTTTGAATCATCATCACGTACCTCAGAAAAACCTTTAACCAATGCAAAATAAAATTTAATACTACAAACGTTTTCAGACCCCTCCTAGGTCCTTCTTCAGGTAAAAAATTGTTTAAAACATTATTAAATATGAAAAAACATTTGTTTGGAATGATTTTTAAATACGGAAAGATTTTTGAATCATATTTTTATTTAAATAATTATGATATTTGTAAAAAAATAAAAGTTAATTTTATGATTGTAATTGATTATGATCTTAAAATCTCCTCATTAATATTTTTAAAAAGAATAATTAATGATAAAAATCTTTCAAATTTTAGATATTTACATTAACATAAAAAATTATACATATACAAATATAGTTTTTATTGAAATTAATACAGTGTGTACCAAAAGTTCCCTTACTGAAGTTTTGAAAATTATTTCCTCGCTTGTTGAAAAAGTGATAAAAGAGAGTATTGCTGATTTAGATTTGTGACAATCTAGAAAGTGCTTTGGACAAATCCATATGGGTGAGATAATTATGTATTATTGACTGGGAAGTGAGAAATATTGCTACGTCAAGTACAATGCTTAATCAAAAATAAAGAATTACACTTTTAGAAAGCTTATTTCAACACAAAATCTTACAATTTGTGATAATTTTGAAGAAAAAATTTTCCAATGATGTACCACTAAGTAAGCCTACTTTGTATGAACTTGTTTGAAGGTTTTGTGAAAGCTGGTTTGGATTTTTGATAATCACATCATTTCTAAGGACTTATGGCCACCTCATCTGCAGACTTAACTTTATATACTCCCATAAAATGAAATCTGACAGAATAGAGTTTACATAAATAATTTCTGTAATTTGGATGACCTGAAACTCAACATTATGGCAAGCATACTGGATATCATGGCAACAATGTTATGATATGTGAGTATGGATATATATATATATGTAGAGTAATCAAAAAGTTTTGTGCCTCACACAGAACATGTGGGCAGAGCAGGTTGAAATTTGGTATATACAGGTACTCCTCACTTTACAACAGAGTTCTGTTCCTACGACTACGTTATTAAGCGAATTGGTCGATAAGCGAGGAGCTTGTGCCAGGAATATAGGATCCTTGTTAGAACACACCAGCTAACCCATGTACTGTGAATTTCTTTTTCACTTCTTCAGTTCTTTCGTATTCTTCCTCTTCTGAATAATTCATTGCTTCTAACTTTATTAAATCTTAATTTGTTAGTTCTCCATTGGCTTAATCCACTAATTCAGTAATGTCTTCCACTTCAACATCTAAATTAAGTGCATTGGCAAGGCCCGCAATTGTTTAAATTACATCAGACTGACTAAAAAAGTGCATAGCAAAGCTATACTATGCTCAGTGAACATGTCACCAATTGCCACTGATCAACACTCAAGCTGAGAAAAGGGATTTTCTGAATTGCAGGTCGAAACTTGATTGGTTGTAAGTGCAAGTGGTCATTAAGCAGATAGGTCGTAAAGTGAGGAGTACCTGTACTTTATTCCTTTTCCACTTAGTTGCCATGCAAAGTTGCACATTTCTTCCATTGGTGGATCACTTGTCAGAATAGAACTTTGTATTTTGTGATGAAAACCACTCCTCCATTTTGGAAATGGCAGCCTCTTCAGAAGGAAAACGGTGTCCACAAAGAGGTTTCTTCATTTCCTGGAAGAGAAAGAAGTCCAATGGTGTAAGATCAAGCAAATACAGCAGATGTGACAAAATTTCATATCCATACTGACAGGTGCATTCGGTGAGTGAATTTGACTGTGGAGGAATATTATCGTACAGTAATCTCAATCCTTTTGTGACATTTCTTCACTTTTTGTTCTTCAGATATAACTTGACCAGGAATGAACTATAATATCTGCTAGTGATAGTCTGTCTCTTCTCCAGTTAGTTGCTTTGGTTAACACCTTGAGAATCTCAGAAAACTGACAGCAATATCTAGGCAGATGATGATTGCATTTTGGCATGGTAGTGATGAGCAAACAGTGCAAGCAGTCATCATCTGTTTTGTTTCTAGATCTTATAAACTTAGCATTCATCCATAGTTACCAATCAATGGTCATTTTGATTAGAGTGACAGCAATCCAAATTGTGCTTCCATGATTTCATCCTTGCTTTCTTTTGGAAAGGGTTCAGCATTCTTGGAACCCACTGTGTAGACACCTTGGACATGTGCAGATCTTTATGCAATATATGGAAAATTGATCCACGAGTAATGCCAAGTTTGTGCACTATATTATTGATGGTGATTTACCAGTCTGGAAGCATCAGCTCCTCCACTTTTGATGCTATTTCATTGTTCTGAACAGATGATTACCATGGGTTATCCTCCAGGTTGACACAGCCCCAGTCACACTGAAATTTATACTTTTGTGACAAAGCCAACTAGCCCCTCAGGTTAGGATTTTTCCTGACATCACCTACTGTATGTATTTAATCAAAACACAGGAAATCGGTTGACATGCCAAGCAGATGCTCTACAGGTAAGCAGATAGAGAAGGGATAAGAGAGAGATGTAACACCTGGAAGAGAATCGCTCAACAATGCATTTAACAATAAAACAAGATCTATTCTAAACATAAACAATCACAATCTAAATTACAAATTGCAAATTCATGGTGGCTATCTACTACTATTTAAGACGACTACTACAATATTAATGTTAATATTGTAGTAGTCAAGAAACTGTTACAGGAATTTTTGTTGTCTGAATACTCATCATCCCACATGTTACAGTTGACCCCCCTATAACACGGTAGATATGTTCCGTTCTTTATGTTTCCGTTCTTTATGTTCCGTTCTTTATGAATCCATTTTGTACGAGTCGTTGCCAATCACAGCCCGGCACGTATGCACTTTACAGACTACAGCTGTTTGAAAGGTTTTCTTCCATAAAATTAATCGATTCCTAGACTAATTCGACTCAACATTTCCAAAATATGTATATTTTTTTGGGAATAATCCGTATAAACTATGCTATAAACAAAAAATTGTAGGATTACTTACCGAGTGTGCACCGTTCGACGTCGCCATTGCTTAAGCTTGTTTTTGTCGCGGAGCAGCGCACCAAACTGCGGCCGCGATTTCTGATAAGTTATTTTTTTGCGAAAACTTCGTTGAACTTTGGAGACATCATTAATATAAATAATTTTTATGGCCGTTGAATAAGAAATGTTTCTTTCACAAGAAATATATAAAATTAGTGCTGTATTAGACTTACGGTACCTAATTTACATACTGTACAGACTATAGTAAACTCAATTTACCCGCCTAAACTCTTCGTAGCGTGGCGCTGGATGGCGGAAAGTAGTTCAGCTGCCCGATGACGTTTACCGAATTATAGGAGTTTTTTTACCATGTTTGTACAGATACTGTCGCAATTTTTTCGCCGTCATATTGGAATCTGAATTATAGGAACCCATGTTATAGGGGGGTCGACTGTACTTGTAAAACTCATAACATAGGCACCTTGATAGAATTCAGTTGTAGTACAAAATACAACTATTGTAGTATAATCTAACTACAATATTAATGGTGAATTTTATCAAGGTAACTATGTCACAAGAGAGTTTTACAATCATCTGGAAGCATCTGCTCCAGATGATTGTGGAATGAACATGTGGGATGATGAATATTCCTGTAACAGTTTCTTGATCTAGATGCAGGCACTACAAACTTCAGACTTTGGCAGGATGATGGTGGGAAGAGGATATTACAATCATGATGAGCAAATGAATTCAGGAGATGGGCGACCTCCTTGACCTTTTCTAAGGTTCCTTCTTCTCCTCAAATTCTATGGCCTTTATAGCAGTATCCAATCCATGACTTTCTTTCCCTACTTCTTTGGATGAGTAACTGTCTCAGGAAGAGGTGCTGTTCAGAAAGTAAGATTCTACCAATGATAATGCTTCCTAACTTCCTCATTGATTCTCCAAATTTTGTACTTTTGTTAAGCATTTTATTTAATTCAATTATTAAATTTTAGAAACAATAACCTAGGATCTCACACTGTCACTTTTTCACAACACCATAAGCTGGACAATCATTGCCATACACTTGCTAAATCTCCTTGTGAATTTGTTTTGGTTTTATTCCTTGCAAATGCAGGAACTATGTTATACAATTGCCATGATGATACTTTTCTGTACAATCTACTCTCTAGTAGCAAACCTGTGAATCACATCACAATATTGAGGCACCCTCAAACCGTGCAAGAATGGGTGAAACAGTAGTACAAGTGTCATACTTCCTTCAAGCATCTATGCATTCCTATGCAAGGCTTGAAACTTTTTGACTGCAGTTTGCACATTGCATATGGTTATCTGCCTCTAGATGGAAGGCAGACACTTCCAGCATCTACTCTAAAATTTCTGAGTATAGCTGATGATTTGTTCATAGGTCATGTTTTAATGTCAGGTCATGTCATAATAAAATTTTAAAGGTTCAGCAAGGAACTTTTGGTATATCCTGTACCAAAAGTACCTTGGCCATATGGCCAAGATGATCAAAGTGTTACCTATCACTCTCATGAACCCAGGATCCAAATAAGCAGACCTAGAGGTTTTTTGTGGACAGTTCATCCTGGAGGTCAGGTCCTGTTTCTCATCACCTCATTTGGGCATGTTTAAACTTATGATGAACAGTTAGATTTTTTTCCTCAACTTGTGGGTACTAAATTTTTTTTTCATTTTTAATAGATGAATGAAAAATTGTTCTTTCTATGAAAATTTTTATTTCTTATTGAAACATGTTTGTGTATTTTATCACCAGGAAAAAAACAACGAAATATTAGAATATAATAATCAAATAGCCGAGTTGCAAAGATGCATGGATCACGCATTGACCGAAGCACTGAAATGCGAATCGAGATGGAACCATTTGAAAAATGCCACGAGTATGAAATGTTTAGAAAGAGGACGAATTAAAATGTAATTTTATTACAAAGTTTTTAAAATATGTTTAAAATGTAACTGAAAATTTGTTTTATATATATTTAGGGCAGTCCATAATTTATTTAATATAATAATCAAACATCAAAAGCTAGATTTTCATACTGAAGACACAATGCAACAACTTGAAAAGGTAAAAAATAAATAAAAATCTGCATTATTAAACTATGTTTAATATTTCTATGTTTTGAATAGATTCAAGAATTTATTGTTGATTGGAAGGAAGTGATGGAAGAAATGAAAAGTACTCATTTGTCTGTGGAAAGTATATCTTAGTTTATAGTAAAGAAAATTAATTAAACTTATTTTTGACTATTTCTTTTGATTATATTTTACTTTTAGAAAACAAATACCATAAGTATTGTAACCATTGTTATTGTAACAAAAGAATCTAAAAATATTATTTATTTTATTTTTATTATCTATTATTTGAATATACAATACTAACTTGAAAAATTTAAATTTTATAATCATTACATGTACTAAACCAAATTATTTTTCCTCTCACACATTTCTGTTTTGCAAGAAATCCTTGATATTCACAGTTTTATATAACCAATGTATGAAAATAGCTAACCACTTCTTTGCAAAAATGCATTTCCATACAATAAAAACCAAAATACAGACTACAGATTCACTGAAATAGTTTTGAATAGGACAAGTTCAGTGTAATTGTTTTTGTTGTGGAACTTTATTGAAACATCACCATGCTTGCTGATTAATTTCCTTTAACTCTTGATGGAATCTTTCCTCAACAATCCATGGGCTGGATTTACAAGCTTGTCATCATAAGGCAATTATATTAGATACTTCTTTAAATAATCTATAATAATTTTTTAATTTAATCAAACCCTACCAATTGCATATATAAAAACATACTGAGAGCATAAACATCCACTAAAATAGTGCATGTTTTATGCATCTTAGGATTTTTTTGCAGCAGCAGTTTCCAATCTGTTGTTGTTACTTGATTAATATGTGAAGCATTGTGTAAAATCAAACAAGTATTATTATTATTTAGTATTCAATTGCTTCTAGTTCTCTCTATTTAGGTCTTTGGAAGTAAGAACATTGTACAGTTGACCCCCCTATAACACTGTTGATAATTCCATTTTATATGAATTCCATGTTGTACGAGTCACTTAAATTTTACAAATATGTGTGCCGGCTGTGAATGGCTCATGTATTTGTAAAACTTAAGTGACTCGTACAACATGGAATTCATATAAAACGGAATTGTCAACTGTCCTGTATGACAGTCAATCTGTCTGATAGGTGTAAAATACTGCACTATACATTTTTAATTTTAATGTTTTTGTGTATTAGTTTTTCTATTTGCCAATTTTTTAGCACATTTTAATTTTCATTTTAGTTCTACCCCTTTGTTTTTAAAAACAATTTGAATACTCCTGCAGCCACTAATGTTATACATATCTGATGAAACTGAAGAGGGGCAATAGCCCAAAATGCATATCCTTTTTATAAAGTGACAGGAACACAGTTGATTGATAAGTTTGTAACAATTATGTGTCTACTTCCATTAATGATCAAAGACAAATATTAATTTTCTAGTTAGTGACAAATGTCAATTGCACTATATTTCTATGAATTTTTTTGGCATGTTTATAATGATGTAAAAAAATAAGTTAGATTCATAAAATATATTGACCTAATGTAGATTTTAATGAACTGTTAGAATATTTTAGTGAATTCAGACATGTACCAAAATATATTTGGTAGTCATAGGTTATAGAATGTATTTTCTAGGAAAATAAAATTGAGTTCTGTGGCATAGGATTTTCTGTTTTGGCTTCACACCAAATAAACAAACAAAATGTGGTGACATGCTTCTGTTGTTGTCTGAAGCAGTTTAAAATATGCAGATTCTGGGGAATACTTGATGTTTTTGTTGGTTATGATGTTGCATTGCATATGTTTAAAATGGCATGTTTGGCCACAAGCTGATCTCTATGACAGATCTCTATTTATCATGCAGTGTAAATTGACAGCAATCAAAAAGTCAATTGATTAGCTTACGACCTGCAACAAGTCTACAGACTTTACTGGTGAACTTTGACCTCGAATATTGGCTCGTAGATGAAATTTCCAACTTCATCATGACACTGGCCTTGCTGAATTGTATATATTTGCAAGAAAATCATGTTTAATGGTCATGCAGTTGTTTGAATGCAATCTTAGACAAAACACACAACTTATGCATAGCTTCACTTATACTCCACTCAATCAATGCACCTGTAATGTTGGATAAAGCTGAAGGAATGCTATTCCACTTTCATGTGTCTGTGAAGAAAATTTACACAAAACTCCTTCAACGTAGCAGAGAGAGAGAGTTCACAATAATATTTCATACCTCTGGGATAATATCGGATGGATACTCCTGTTTTAATTTCTGATATGCGGTGCGAGGTGTGGCTCAAGGTGGAGTAGGTCGGCGATGGGGAAAAATTCAATGTCCGACTCCGTCATTGTTCGTTCGATTGGCGACTCCCCCGATTGAAGGAGGAGGAGGCTTTTTATACGTTTTGCCGTGAGAAAAGTCGTCATGTGACCTATTGTCTTAGCAGGTGTGAGGTTAAAGGTGGTCCTGAGCTGCAATAAATTGTCGAAGTTGGACTTTAATCGTCAACATTAAGACTTGCAGACGACTGCTATTGTTAGATGGTCGAATGTTTACGTTAAAGGAGAAAGTTGTAACTTGATACTTAATATGTTTATATAAGGGAGATAGTTGATTTCGTTTTTCTGACGATGGTTTTTTTCCAGTAAGGTAATAAATTTATTCAAAATATGTTAGTTGTTAAAATTTGGAAGAAAGAAAAACAAATTGGTTTGCCCACGGGTCGGATCTCACATGTCCCTGGCTGAAGATGGCCCATTAACTGGGTCTATTAGTGTTCCTTTGATTCCATCCATTGTTAAAGGTGCATTAATTCAGCAGACTAACTATATTGGCTCATTCACTCTTAATTTTTAATCAGTTCATAAGTATTTCTTATATATTTTTATATTATGTACATCACAATCCTCAAAACACAAATTAAAACTTCTAAATTCATATTGCCAATGGAATTGATATTTCCATATTTCTGATGCTAGTAACTGTCATTAGCAGGATGATACTTTTAATAGCAAATATAGAAGAGTAACAGTTGTTTAACTTAACTTTCAAAAAATGTTTACAACTGCTTTTGTTTTTTCCAGCTGAGATTCATTGCAATATTAGTTTATAATTTCATTTCTTGTAAAGTTCTTGAAGCATTTTGTTAAAAATGAGGACAAGAAATTTTTTGACATCCTTAAAAATGCTGCCAAGCTACATCTCTTTATTCTTTTTAAATGTAGCATCCCACAAAAATATCCTGACAGAGCTATGAATATACAATTGAGTCAAAAATTTCTGATATTCATTTAAAGCCTTCAAAAATCAATCACCCTAAGTTTAATCTGAAGAGGCGGCAATATTACTTTAGATTCTGTGACTTGTGACTAGAAGGAACAAACTCCACTTACAAGAATTTATGTAATTAAAGTAAATTCTAGGATCAATTTCTCAAATGTGTTTTCATTAAACATGGTTAGATTCTGATAATCCAAATATTTAAATTGAAACATAATTTTAAAAATTAATCAGAAGTATTTACAAGTGCTAAATAAATTGAATCATTTGCTCATGAATTGTAATCAATTACAAAAAAAAAATTCTGAAAAAGAATAACTTTTTCTAATTTATCAATTTTATTTTCTTTTATAGGCATAAATACAAAAACGTGTTTTAAGTTATATAAATCAAATTATAAAGTTTACAGAATTTGCATTGCTTAAAATATAATCACTTAATATCACAAGAACAGACAATAGTTTTATCTAATATGAATATTGAGCATTCTAGATTCTAGAACTTCAAGTTTAATTTTTAATGCAACAAGCACTTTTTATATAGTAATTTACCTTATATCTAGTTCTATAACAATTACATTTCAGTTTAATTAAAAATTATGTATAATGGAGTTGTGTTTTGAAGTTTTAGATTATATAATATATTGACAAATATATTTTGTAATAAATACCACACGACAAAATATAATTAATGACAATATCTTTTAGCTTAATTTACTTAATTCTTGCTTGTTAATTTGATTTTAAAATTTAAATCATGTAAAAAAAATTACTTTTATTGTGAATTTTTCATGTATTTAATAACTCTAGAAATTTTGTAATAGAGTTTCTCACAAATTTACAACTAAGGCCTAAATGATTTTTTCCTTACACTAGAATAATACATGGTAGCATTTAGCTATCAGTTTTTCCTCCTTGAAAACTGGTAACTGATTCAATTTAAATATTTTAGTGAAATTTTGTGATGCAAATATTTTAGTGATTTTTGCATTACAAAATTTCACTAAAATATTTAAAGAATTTTTGCTTTTTCACTTAGTCAAGTTTTGAAAAAAAATGTTTTCTAACAAATAACTTTTATAATAATCCTCTCTCCTGAATTCAATAAACATAAGCAGAAAAGAGATCACTTAGAGATGTCAGAAAACATTTGCATTCGTGTGAATTTGCTGTTAAAATCAAATGAGAAAAATGTGCAATGTCAATATATGTGAATCATTCTAATTTTGTTCTATCATTAAATATCTTTTAGAAATTTTATTGTTTAAAAACTATTATTTTATTCACTTGCTCAACAATTTAATTAAAAAAAATAACAGAATTAGATTATAGGTAAATCACTAGCTGTGTAGCATATTACATTTATGCACTATCTTACAATACTTAACTGTTTTATAGTTTTTATCAAACAAATTATTATAGTACTATATTATCATAATGGAAAACATTGTTACTTAATGAACATTTAATAGTTAACAGACATCTTAGTTTTCACAGTGACATTTTATATTACAATAATTACAAACACCAAAATCTGGACAGATTTTTACTTTACGATACATATTTTGTCTATTATATGAAATAATTCGTAATAAGAACTTTAACATTAAAGTCTTATCTATAAGAAAAGGATCTGTACACTGTTCAATAAAAACAAGACTTAGTTAATATTTACTTATAGTATGCAATATAGTTAAAGTAATTTAAATCTGAATAACATTTTACAACATTGAAATTTTTTTTATAAACCTTCTTAACTGAAATCACGATCAGGCAACACAATAGGTGCAATCAAAGTCCATGCGTATAATATGATACAAATCCAGCTGGAGACTATTTTAATCCACATGGGTGGATAAAAGTTATCAATGTTGGCTTCAGCAGTCACATTGTGGGCTGATGGTCTATGAGGGGAAAAAAGTATTTTGTATGAGTAAAAAATATATAACTTGTACAAATCTTATTATAACTTGAAAAAATTTCTTTAAAATAAATATTAAATAACATGATAGTTTTCAGCAAATATTTAGTGATTAAGACAATGAATAGTTAATATTTGTAATGTCCTATTAATTAAAATACCACCAGTTGACATTTCATTAATTGCATTATTTTTAATTATAACCTGTTAATTTTAAACAAAAAAATAACTTGATGGGTAATTTTACTTATATAAAACAAGAAGAAAAATTCAATTACAAGAAGTGTGGAGTCAGAACTTGAAGTTGGTACATTTTTACCAACTCTGACCTCAATTTAAAATCTAAGAAGTTATTTTAATACTTTCATACTGTGTGATAGTACCTTAGTCTTAAGTGTGTAATTTCTTTACTTAAAATAATAATTCAATGTTAGTTGTAAAAGGAATATTAACATCATAATTTTTCTTTATTTTCCATATCTAGTGATATTAAAATATAGCTTGATTCATATGGTAAATCATCAAACTACTTTAAATAAATGCCATGTGGTACCATTCATCAGTTTAGAAGGTTTACCTTTTAATAAAACAGAGTTTTCATGAAGAAATTGAAGTCAGATTTAAAAATTGAAGAACCAGAGTCAGTGATTGTGCATGCCCACTCTCACTGCCTTGTAAATCATTATTCTTTTGAAAATCTAGCATAAGATCTACCAGCAAAATTAGTATGAATTTTAATAATTAAAATACATTCCCAAAGTTGTCTATCTGTCTGTCCATATGGTCTTCATTAATCTTGAGAATGAAGTTAGATAGCTGAAAATCAAGATCCATCATATAAAGTTTACAGGTTGGAGGAAACCAATTAACTTTGTAAGAACTTCTGGTGTGGACCACATCGCAATTTTTTAAATTATGATTAAAAATTGCAGTCTGGCTTGTGACAATGTTGCAATAAATAATTTCTTGTTAATTTTAAAATGATCATTGCAAGATTTTATTGTTTTAATGTAATCTTTAATATTTCAATTCATTTTTTTCAATAGCATATTGAAGTTTTTACAAAATTTGCTATAAAAAAAAACTCAATATTACTACAGTCGACCCCCCTATAAGATCATTGATTATTCCGTTTTATATGAATTCCATGTTGTACGAGTCACTTAGATTTTACAAATACATGTACCGGGCTGTGAACGGCTCACGTATTTGTAAAATTTAAGTGACTCGTACAACATGGAATTCATATAAAACGGAATAATCAATGATCTTATACGGGGTCGACTGTATATTAGAAGCCCACACCTCATTTTTTTTTATTTCTTTGGTTAAAACTGTCTTAATACTCCTTGCTCCTTTCACTGTGGTGCTTTTTTTTTTTTTTGAGAAATCAATATTTTAAAATACAACAAACAACACATTCTAAAAAATTTGAAGAAGAATGCAAGAATTAGATCAAAACAATATAATAAAGATCTGTAGAAATCAATCTGTTATAAATGTATCTAAAGAAAATAGTATTTTGCTGATATGGGTTGATGTGATATTTTGGACAGTTTGACCCATATCAGCAAAACACAAATATATTGGTAAGGGACATTGATCTCACATTGAGAAGTACATTGATGAATACTAAAAATTTTTTATATTTGATATCATTCCAAGAATGCCACACACACATTATGGATAACTGTTTCTGCTGTATTTACATTTGAAATACAGTAGAGCGTCGATTTTCTGAATCAATTGGGGACTGGGGTTGTTTGTATAACTGATATTTCGGATAACCGATTTATGTACAAAAAAATAGTTTAACGCATCCGATGTTGAAATTTTTCTCCGTTGCGTGTCACTTTGCGTTGAATTTTCATCGATGTTAAGCCTAACAAAGACTATTGTATTGTTAAAAATTATTTTTTTATTTTGTACAAACAAAATAAATATATTGAAAAATATAAAAACAATAAAAAATTATACTTCAGATGTTAATTCAGTATCAAAAACGTAAAATATTTGAGTAGCCCAAGACATAGCCAAAGATTGCAGCGCCACAGCACTAGCGAAAATTTAAATTTGTCGACTGGAATTTCTTCAGATAAATGACACTCTACTGTAGTTTTAAAAATGTTAAAGTATATTTACTTACTTATACCAATTGGTCAATGTCATCATAACATAGAGTGAAGCCAGGGCAAACATAAAATGAAAGAAAGACCAACTGTAAACTACTGCATCATCTTCATTATCCCAAACACGTCCTTTCTCTTCATCACCTGATTTTCCTTCTAGAAAAAATTTTTAAAAACAATTTTAATCATCATAATAATTAGCTATTTTACAATCTATCAGTTTCACTACAGTCAACACTCACAATCTGTTTTAAACTTAGTTTACACAGCATGCAATGTTCTATTTTTCTTATGTTATTTTAACAACTTGAAAATTTTCATCTTGTATAAATTTGAATATTTCAAAAAATTTAAAAATTATTACAAAGCCAAACATTGTTAATTATTCCCATATTGTTATTTTTATAAATTTACATAAAGTCAATGAAATGAATTTAGGTAATTATTTCTCAACAAAGAAATTCTATTCTACTTTTGAAGACAAGTCACAAAAATGAGAGAGAGAATAACTTATAGAATAAAGCCATTTAATTTTTTTATTCATTTTTTTTAAATTTCTGAAACCATATTATTTAACACTAAATAATTCATATATAATAATATAGTTTTTTACATAAATAATAATAATATAGTTGAATGAAAGGTTTACAATTATCATCAATGGAAATCAAATAAAAATACTTTGAGACTAATGGGACTAATCTCATGGCATTTAACCTAATTTTTTGTGATGTATTTAAATTTAATAAATTTTTAACTTTCTTAAAAAATATTAAAGATTATCAGAGATTTGACAAGAATTATATATATATAATTCTTCTAAATTCACACTTTCTCAATTTTAGTAGATATAAAATTCCCCATAAAAATAAGTTATAGAATTGAAAATTTAAGAATTGGAAGAATAACAATGAAATTCTGTAAGCCTAATCATAATCTATATAGCATGAATGAGTCTTTAACAATGTATTATATAATCTTATTTCATAATATAAGATATATATATAAGGATTGATCAAATGAAACCAGTTCATGTAATGCAAGGGGAAGGGATGACATCTCATGTGATGTGATAAGCATACACCAATGAACAAGCATGTCTCTCACATTTTGTTTTTGGCATAGAGTAGTGAAAACATGGCCAGAGTTATTCAGAAACTGTCCAAGGTTGAAACATGGTCGAAGCCACATTTTGACCTTGGACAGATACCAAACAAGCATGCAATACAAACACCCCAACACACTAAAAAAATTCAAAACACAGGTCTCCTATGTTTTGAATTTTGACGACTGCATTTTTTGACATTGCAGGACATATGCTAGTGAACTTTGAATATCCTCACCTGAGCATCAATGCCAACCACTACAATGTAACCTTGGACAAGCTACAAATCCATAAAGAATAAATGACCAGGTATCATGTGGTCTGATTTTGTTGCATGCCAATGCTTGACTTCATGTTGCAAACAATGTGCAGGATGTTTTAGCATAAAAAGGTTGGGACGTTCTGCACCACTCTTCCTACAGCCCTGATCTGTCATCATGTGACTTTCATTTGTTTGAACCTATAAAAATAACTCTTAATGGACAATGCTTTACCTATGATGTGAAAATCAAGAAAGCAATCACCCAATGGTTCAAGGATCAACCAACATTGTTCTTTGCAAATGGTATCCATTGTCTTCCCAGGCAGTGGAATGTGTGTCTGGATGCCTATGGTGACTTTTTACTGAACAAAAGTGCATTCCAGTTTTCTTACATATTGCTTTAATTATACCATATCAATGAATGTACTGTTTCATTTATCTTAATAAATTTACTCAAATGAGGTTTATATGAAAACTATAATCCAGTTTTTAATAGTCAAACATTTAAAAGCCATAGTTTTTGAGTTAGATTTTATTAAATAATTTAAAATTAATCTAATAATTTTGAATTTTGATCTTACAAGATGGTGCTTAACTACCTTATAATTCTGTAGATCAACCTTCTTTGACTTTTTTAAAATTGCATGTATTTGAAAACAAATAGCTTTATGATTTTTGTTGTTAGTCCATGTTAAAGATATTATATATCAAATTAAAAGAGAAAAACTGGGGAGGGATTTGTTGATATAGGTTCGATTATAGATCATTTGAATTTAAAATAAACAAATGCAAAAATCAATTTTTTTGAAGCCTATGAGCTCAATCTGAGCTCTATTCAGTAATGGTTTATTTTCATTCTATTGATTGTTTCCTATCATCTGACAATGTATGCAACAGAATTTTAGTTTTTGGGTTTTGTTTATATGCCATCTCAGAAAATATGCAAACTAGTAATCAATTAAAAAACGCATTAAACTGTAATAAAAAAAATAGCAGGAAAACAATTTTTATTGTAAAAAGTTTTTTTTTGTCATCACAGACTGAATTAGGTATTATAATATCTAAGGTCTATGCTCATTGGAAATACAAGAAAATATGTTTAAATAATAACAAACAAATGGGCATATGTTTAAGTATTTAGGTTTTTTAGACAAACATATTGAGACATGAAATTGTATAGGCAAAGGTATTTAAAAGTTGGATTAAAGTTAGATAACTTAAAAATTAACCATCACACTATGAACAGATTAGTAAAATTACTTACAGTGACAGAAGTTCAGACAAAACAATTTCTTCACAGGAACATAAGATACAACTAACAAACATAGAATAACTGATAACACTATAATAATTAGATACACACAAGAACTGGATGTTTGAAGTTTTTAAAGCAGTCAAGAATAATCCTAGGCTCAGACATTTCCAAAAGTCAATAAAATTTTCTTCAGTGAGTTTTGAGCACCTTTTTGAAAGATGCCATGGAATTTACTCATAGGCTGAGAGCCACAGCAATAGGAATCCCATTGTGTATACAAACACTTGCCAACCAGTAGCATTTTGTATGCACCATCAGTAACAGGCCACTTTTCCCTTTATCAGCATTTTTAAAGAATTTGATATTACCACAAACACTTCATTTAATTAGTCTAATACCAATATGTATGACGAAGACATTGTATGTATTTTATTATGAACGACTAAAGCAAACCAGAACAATGTTCTCATATTCCTTTAATTGAGAAAGAATCAAGATTGATATTTTTATATATGTATGAGAAGAATTTTAGATCAAATGTGATAATTTTAAATGGCAGATATGATAAATTGCATCTTCAAGTCTGGAAATGTTAGTGCCCTTACATTGGTGGCAAAATCAATTATGGCCAAAATCATCATAAGGAAATGAGTTACTTTTACAGTTAGAGCAAATTATTGAGCAGTACTATAGTTTCTCTGCAAAAAAAGAAGAAACATATAATTCATCACTTAAGAATATACAGACTATATGATATGAACTTTCTCAAGAAAAGAAACCAGATGATTCTTTGAGATTTGTGAGATTTTACAAAGATTACAAATCTTTGTAAAATAGTAAAATATGCTGATGATGGTTTTGCCTTATTGCATTGCAGGGCCTCCCATGCATTGTGGTGTGGCAAATGAAAAACTTATTCTGCCTGATAAGAAAAAGAGATAAGAAATAAATTACAACCAGAAAAATCATTGTCCTTAATAATTGCAGTGAAAGTCAAAAAACTGCAACTGTCATGAATACACTAACATTAATAAAGCAAATCATAGCACAAATGCATATAGTGGGAAGCACTCATCATGCAACAATATCAAGACTCCTGACAGATCAAGATGGAACACACAAATCTAGGTGTAGATTTATGATGTATTCTATAAAATTAAAACCTTTGTGATGTTAAGAATATGGCAAAAGCTTTATACTCTAACAGTGTTTATGGCAATAGCTTTATAAAATATCATATGCAGAGGTATATTAAATACCTTTAATAAGCAAAATTTAATTTAAGCATTGAGCAATATCAATGTTAATAAAGAATTTTTTCACTTTTTATGCTGTCAGCATTTTTCTATCAATGCTCCTGCTATTCCCCATACTAAAGGTTGGCAAGTATGTGTACAAAAGTATACAGATTTCAATCATCATGTACTGTACATACTATTAAACAGAAATTCAAACATTTCGAAATAGTCAAATTTTCTCTCTCTTTCTGTTCCCTATACGACTTGATGTATCTTGACATCGTATACTGCTGTTCATTGAAATTGCAATACCAACAAAGACATGAGTTACAACAATGAAATTTATTTCAATGATGACATTTAGTACAAGACATAAATGATTTCAATTACAGATCTATAATTGAAAAGTAACATGCTAAATTCAGTATTTTGTCCACCTTTAGTGGTTGTAACTGATTGCACACAGCAAATAAGATTCTGGATGGATGTTTGTGGAATATCATTCCATGCAGATTCAATATACATCCACAATTCAGCAGTTGTAAACTGCATGTGATGAAATAAGGTGATTTTTGAGCCAATTTTTGAGCAATCATATCTCACAAATTTGATGGAGAATAAATTGGACAACCATGCAGGCCAAGGAAGAACTGATACTAGTTGGTCATGGTAGTTCCAGGAATGGTCTGTAAGAGGCAAGACTTCTGGTTCCAAGATGTACTGCTGACTGTTCATAGTGCCTGTGATTTGTATATGGTGAAAGCATGATTAAAATGTAATAGCATCCCAAACCATAATGCTCATAGCAGAATTGCTATGACATTGCAATGCACCCTTCCAGATACCATTCCCCACAGTATCTGCAAATGAAGATCCAGCTATCATGAGTCCAAACATTATATCTAGACTCATTGGAAAACATGATTTGCTCCCATTCAGCAATCCAATGTCTTCATTCTTTGCACCTTGAAGCCTCTGATGTCTACAGTATAAAGTCAGAAGACATCACAGTAATACATTCTGAGCTATGAACTCTTGCTGCAGCAATCATCCTCAGTTGTTGTGATAATATTGTGTATGCTGCTGTTTGATTCATTACCGCCATGTATACCAAGAGCCTTCTTCCTGTGCTGACATAGCCATAGGTGCTCCAGAACCCTCACAATTATGATTAGAACATTCTTCTGTCCAATATCTCCAAATAAGAATAACTTCACTCAATGTGTGAAGCAATTTCATGATATAACAAACTGCCTTCTCTTAACCAAACAATTCTTTCTCTTTCAAAGTCCATCAACTGTTTATATTGTTGTTTTGTTATGTGGTGATGCACGTTTACATATTAACAAAGTAACACAAATTGAGTTCATTGATAAAATGTTCAGAATTTGCTTTTTCAGCTCTCATATCCTCAGTCACATATTGCAACCTTCACTGGGGTATCCTATTTGAATATGCAGCTAATATTTTAATCATTTGAATTTCCTACACAACAACCTGGCTGCCAAGTTTTTGGTTGATTCAATAACTTCTCATTGATGTTATAATTTCAATGAAGAGCAGTGTATATATTATGGCATAATATAAATGGCAAATTCAATTGTTCCAGTCTCTTACAAAACAAAGACAAAGACCATGCATTGAAAAGAGGAAAATCATAATGACAGTGTTACTGACACAACATATTGATAAACAAATGATTACCAGCTCAATGGTATAAAAAATGATATAATAAACATTAACAAGATAAAATACTACTGAAAATGCTTAATTTGTTATAAATAATGACTACTTATCAGTTTACTTAAGATTTAATCATATACTCACAAATTTTCATCAATAATAAATATAATCAAGCATTAAGGGAAATTCAAATATTTTCTGTTAAATGAAAAAAAAAACTTCATTTGGAATATAACACCTTAGTTTGTAAGACAATTATTTTAGAATTTAAAATAAGCTGTTGACTGCTACTCAATGGAATTTCTGACAAAAATGTTTAAGTTATTAAAAATATTGATAACACAATAAGACAATGCATAAAAGCTGGTAATTTCTTGAAATATAAAAATTCACTAACCACTGCTTAAAATATACAATTGAAATAGTAAAATAATATTTCTTCAATGAGTATCAAGATCATATATACTTGTTATTAAGGTTGAGGCTTATTCACAAAAATTATTTTTTGTGAATAAGCCTCAACTTTAATAACAAGTAAAATAATAATTGAAAGTTAATACTTTAAATTATTGATTGTTTTGACTAGATAATCAATTTCAACAAAATAAATCCAAATATTTTTTGTGTCTGTCTTACTATCAGTTTTGTTTTTTATTTAATTTTCAGCAATAATCTCTGATGTAAAAAAAAGTCATAATAGCTACATACAAATAAACTGTACTCTGATCACTAATATAATCTGATTATAATTCAGAAGAGAAATTTAAACTGCATTGTTCAGTAATAACACAGGGTGTTTCAAAATGAATATCAGGGTTTTAAGGCTTTGTAGTATTTATTACATTAAGTTACAATTATAAATAATACATCAAATGAAAGAGCAACTCAAACAGTTTTATTGGATATACCTGTGATGCACTGTTTCCTCTGTCTTCCATTAGAATGCATTACTGTAGTAGCAAAGAGGGCAACTAGCAAACAAAGCTTTGTGTGTTTTACAGTTACTGAATCTGTAGTTACAGTGCAACATGCATTCCATATTAAGTTCCATTGTAATCCTCCAAGTGATAATAATAATATCCATAGATGATATCATCAGTTTGAAGACACTGGCTGTCTTTGTAAAGGGAAGAGTACGGGACGACCAAGAGTGACTGAAGAATGTGTTGAACGAATGAGAGAGTCTTTCACGTGTAACCCCTAAAATCAGTGCAGAAGGCTAGTAGTGAATTAGCAATGCCAGTGACATCTGTGTGGAGAGTTTTAAGGAGACACTTACAACTACGTCCTTATCGTTTGCAGTTGTTACAAGCTGTAAAGCCTACAGATATAGTTTACATGCCAACTTTACAAACGAAATGTTGCTGTATGACAATGAAGATTTTCTGGATCGTGTCGTCTTCAGTGATGAATCAACATTTCACCTAAGTGGAAATGTGAACACTCATAATGTGCCTACCTGGGGGTCAGCAAATCCCCAGGAGATGGTACAGTTGAAACGAGACTACCCAAAATTGAATGTTTTTTGTGCCATATCCCAGCAGAAAGTTTATGGGCCTTTCTTTTTCGGTGAAGCAACTGTAACTGGTGTTTCTTATCTTGATGCGCTACAACTGTGGCTCTTTCCTCAATTGGAAGAAGATGAACCAGAGAACTTTATTTGGCAGCAAGATGGCTCAGGATGCAATTGGTTAAATGATGTTATACCCAACTGCTAGATTGGCCGCCAGGGGCTGGATGACAGAGCTTGTTTTACCTGATCTGACACCATGAGACTTTTACCTTTGGGTTCATAAAGGATCACATGTGCACGCCTCCGCTACCAGCTGACCTACCTGACTTAAGAAATAGGATTGAAGCAGTTGTTGCAACAATTACTCCAGACACACTGATCAAGGTTTGGGAAGAACTCGCCTATCGACTAGATGTGTGCCATGTGATGAATGGTGTTCACGTTGAACATTTGTAGGAAAAACTGTTTGAGTTGTTCTTTCATTATTTATAATTGATTAATACTACAAATATAATTAATAAATACTACAAAGCCTTAAAACCACGATATTCGTTTTAAAACACCCTGTATAATATAAACATTAATAGAATATCATTAGCAATGCTATTAATACAAATTTTAATAATATTCAAATTATTCAGAAATACTAATTATAATGTAGTAACAAAAAATTATACTACAGTAAATATATTGAAATAAAAATGTAATTCAATTATATTTGTTCTTGAATTTACTATGACTATAATGCTTAAAAAAATTATTTTTACAATCAAAAATTAGTCTAAAATAAGCTACTATATGAGAAAATGTAAAAATTGTTAATTCTTGAGAAAAACTTTAATGCAATAGTTCTGTAACAAAACATTTTATCATCTGAAATCACAAAAAAATAATCACATTAACATTTTAGTTCTGAACAATATTTATTTTCTTAATTAATGATGTTTAATTAGAATTTGCTTTATCAATATGTGTATCTATTTCTTATTTCCTGAATGTAAAAAATATCTTATTTGAAAAAACTTAAAAATTTTTTACATTAATCCAGATTCATAACAATTTATTGATAATATTATAATGATAACATTATATGTATTAATCAAAATAGAATTTCCAAAATTACTTTTAAATAGTTCATTATGCAATTTTTTTTTCTCTCTTGTTATTCAGTTACTACAGCATTAACACAGAAAAATAAAGAAAAAGAAACACATGTAAACACTGAAGAAATAATCATACCTTCCTCATCAACCAGAGGTGTTGATCCATTTTCTGGAGAGTGAAACAGACAAGAAAACAAGAAACATATGTAAAGAACAAAAGAATATCCATTAAATATTTAAGAAATTATTTAATTCACATTAAAATAAACATATAAAAATATTACAAATTATTATTACATTCTCACATTCATCATTTTTTTTTCAATAAAGATATATTTCCTACTTTATTAATAAAAATTGATAAAGTACATAAATACATGTTTAAATGATATACTTTCATGTTTAAAACAAAAAACTTCTATTATAGCTATTATAAGTCTAGTTTATATTTGAATAATCTTTTTAATATATAATTTGAATAATAAGAAATTTATACTAATTTTTTAATATGAATTATATAGTTAAATTAATGTGTTTTAACATATTAAAACACATTAATTTGGTGATATTTGGTGAACATTAATATGGTAAAAGCCATAAGTTCCTGGAATAATCACTAATAGTCTAATGCATAATACAATTTTTGCACTAACACATTATTTAAGTTACATAACAGATTAAATTTATCATAACAAAATTTAGTTTGAATGTTTTACACAATGCATTAAGAATGTAATAAGGACTAGCTGCTGTATAACAGTATGACAAACTTTTGTTTTGTTTTTAATGGACAGAAATATATACTAATTTTTCATTTTCTCCTATTCTTTGAATATTTAAAAAAAGTTTTCCTATTTCTGAAGATAAAGACAAAATACATAGATAATAATTTTTACTTTTCAAAAAATTATTTATGAACAACATTTTTAAAAATTCTAAAACTTCTTTTTGATCAAATGAATGATAACTGGTTCAGAATTAAATACTTTGAAGAAATCCACATTAACTATTAACTAATATCAAATATATAAGCTGGAACTTACATATAATACAAAAACATACCTCCACATACTTTCTAGCAGTTTTATTTTTGTTATATTTCTGATATTTTAAAACTTATGAAATCAAAGAATGGTGACAATATTCCAAACTTGGAAATTGCTGTAGACATTCAGTTTCATGTAAGCTGTAACCTTATGCAGGCCCATGAATGTGGTAAAAAACATTTACTGCTTGGAAGGTATGTTTCTATGCTAATAATATATTTCATTTATTCAATCTAGGAACTTATGGTTGTCTCCTCTTGCAGATTTAATACACTATTCTTTTGTATATTGCAATTCAAAATACTAATGAACTTAATAAATTGTTAAAATTTATTAAATTTTTAACAATTTGTTTCAGTTAAGACTTACTGTAAAAAGAGTGCTGACTGTAGTAAAATATTTCAACTAACTTATAAGCAATATATAATTATCAGAGTATAGATTTTATAAATTTATTCATAGTTTTAAAAAATTCATTTTAAAAATCAATAAAATTACAGTTGTGTTTCAATGTTATCAGTCAGCTGACAATTCTTATTTTCATGTTTCACTCAAATATGTAAGATAATGTCACTGTTTAATATAAAGTGCACACCTTAATTTCTTCATACTCATTAACAGAATTTTTGTCAACAGAACCAGCATCTATTTACAGTGCAAGTAAAGTAAATTATGTATCACTGTCTTCCATGATAACAAAGTTGGAAACCCCTTCACTTTCCATGCTATGTTCTTCTGAATCAACATTGAATTTTATAATCACATTTTTCTATATACAATCATCTTTATTGCTGTTTAAAGTACTGGAAATGCATTATTTCTTAAAAGAGCACTGTAGAACTTATTCTGAAATTTTCTTCCAAGTACTTATGTCACTAATGTAATGGATTAACACAACTGAGCTAAGTTGATCACTTTAATGACTTTAATAAACCAATGTTTGTAATAGGAAATATTTAAAGTAACCCAATTGAATTATTTCCTCTGTTGACTATTTATTTAAATTAATAAAATAAGATTAAGCAAAATAAGATTAGTGACCTCTGGTTCCATGCAAGTTATAACTTACATTGAATCTAAAATGTACCCCATTTTCAGACAATGTGAAAAAGTGCCTCTTACAATTTGAGTAAATACAGTAATTTACAGATTCTAAAGCTAGATTTTATCAACCTAACAGTTATCAGGTTAATTAAGAAATACAAAAATTACTTATTGTTAAACAAAACAATACAGTATATCACGGGTTTACTGTATAAAACATAAGGTATTTATTGAATTCTATAAAATAGCTGTTTCTTGTTTGTCTTATATGGTTATTCTTTATTCTTACAAATTTAATTACCTTTTAATTTTTGTATATGTTCTATTTAATTATATATATATAATTAAATAGAACATATATATAGCATACTTCATTTTATGTACCATTTTAATACACATTTAAAATTATAAAATTATTATAAAAATAGTTAAGAAAATTAAAAAGTTTTTAAGAAGATTTTCTCTACTAAAACTACTGGAAAAAATAAAAGGTTAGCCAATTGATACACAAATATTTCTAGCTTAGAATTATATACTTATTTGGTAAATCAATAATACTTAACATTTTAAAATTTTTCTTCAATACTCAGATTCTAAAATTATGTAAAAATACTATACTACTTAATTCTTTGCCTCACAATTTTCAAAAAGATATGTCATCCTCAAGAAATCATTGCAATTATTCATCCCTAATTCACAGTAAAAACAATTCTAAAAGTAGTTATAAAAATAACAACAACTTACGACTTCCATTATCCTTGACCAAAATATTTTCAGCCATTGTGATTTTTCTTACTTGACTATTACTAGATGTGCGAATACTAGAAATAAAATTTAATTTCATTTATAGTTTATTATTTTAAGTACTTATATTAAGATTTATTGAAATATTAAATCAAAGAAAATAAAATATTTGAGTCAATTTTATCAAAACAAAATTTCTGGATAAGCAACTAACAGAAATTAACTTAAAATTTAAGCTTTAGTAAATTCTATTATGTAATAATTTAAAAATTTTTACATAAAGATTTTTTACTGACAAGATGATTCTAATCCAAAAAAAAAAAAATAACGATTCATTATAGTTCAACTTAACTGACTTAAGACCAGGGTACCGATCTGTCGCACCCCCCATTGTTATGACAATGGACCAGAGTACCGATTCGTCGTTACCCTGCAAAAAGTCGATTTTAATGAAATTTATTGACAACAGATGCCAGCACTTGACGGTAGTGTGTTGTCTACCATCTGTTTCACATATTTTTGTCCAGGTGGTGTTTTGTTGACTCAAATTTTTATTTAGCGATTATTTTCTTAATTTATATATCTTTTGATAATTTTTTATTATATTTATAGCATATTTACGTAATAATATTATTAAAATACGTTCATTCATGCTATAATATGTTTATTCAGTTATAATAAGTCAACGTATTATAAATATTTAAATTGTGACTCTCAATTTTGATATTTTTTAATTTTTTATTTAATTTAAAATATTAGCACATTGTAAATGTATTACTACTGGTGTATATATTTATCACAATAATTTATATTATTGTTCAAAATAAAATAAATAAAGAATATTAGTTCGTAATAATCATCGATAGCAAAATAAAGGTTAGATTCCAAACAAAGGATATATTATAATCTGTGATAATTTTAAAACTAAAAATCGTACATTCATAAATGTTATATCGAATTGTACAGAACAATATTTCAAGTCGTTCTAGCTTAGTTTCAAGAACAAACTAGGTAACTGGAGAATGTTACTTTTAACAAAATGTTACAAATTTTCACAATTAGATGTCAGTTCTGATATATTATAATTTTTTTCTATCGAATTTTTTATTGAAACGTAATTAAAAATACGTATTTAAAACTACAGATATTAATATATGTAACGTGATTTTTTTCATATGAATATAACAATAACTTAATTTTTGGTGAATTTTTAAAATAATATCACCTGTCTGACCTTGTCTGACCTATATTGCCCTTGGCCGTTTCAGACAATAAACGTAAACAAGGGGTGTGACGACTGGAAATAAGAGAGTTAAAATGTGAAATTTTAGCAACCCTTTGAATTATCATACTTTCCTTAACTATTGAAGACTTCTACAATATTTGCATTGTAATTTGTATTTTATATTTGTTTTCTTTTTAATTTATAAAACTTATAATACAAGGGCAGGTCTTTTTTCAACTTTCAATGGTCCATAAAACTTCACAATCCCCTCTTCATAGAATTGTGATGGGCCTTAACATTGTTTTGAAGATCGTCATTAGTCTTGAACCTCTGTCCTCCTAGCCACTTTTTCAGTTCAGGGAGCAAGTGAAAGTCTTCACACATTAAAGGTGTATGAAGACTTCCACCCAGCTTGAAACTTTTAAACATCCAGCATATAGCTCCGATTTAGCACTGAGCAACTTCACCTCTTTTCTGAACTTAAAACGTGGCTAGGAGAGCAGAGGTTCGAGACTAATGATGATCTTCAAAACAACATTAAGGCCCATCTCAAGTCACTGGTGGCAACATTCTATGAAGAGGGGATTGAAAAGCTCATGCACAGATATGACAAATGCCTCAATCTTCATGGTGATTATGTCGAAAAGTAACCATGGTTGTACCTAACTTTTGGTTATAAATTCGTTTTGTTATTTACACTTATCTGTGTTTTATGGACCATTGAAGGTTGAAAAAAAAAACACGATGTATTTTTTTATATAAAATTAAGACACGAATCAAAAAATTATTTGCTTACATATAGCATTTTTTAGTAACAAATATTTAAGACAACTTTAATACAGGATTATTTAAACAACTATCCAATTGAAATTCATTTTAAGATAAATCTGTAAACAAGCTGACCTTTTCAAAACCTGCTTCTGTTAGTTAACATTTCTCTTCCATTGCATTTAATTAACAATCTCAGCATTATTTTTAAAAATCTTCACTATGCTGCATTATTACTACTTACTTGTACATATAGTGCCAAATGTAGTGCACCCATTTTTGTACTTGCACATTACTGACAATCAACCAATTACATATCATATGACAGTCAACTATCATAAAATAAATGCATTAAGCTGATTATATACATTTGTTCTTGGATTTTACCAGTTTGTGGCCATTTTTATTATTTTAGCTAGCTATGTAAACCAGTAATCTTACTTAAATTTGTTTACTTGGATTTTATCACTATTTTAAAAATTACTAAGTTGTATGGCACAGTTTGCACAAAAGAACATGTACTATTACACAATGTAATAACACAATGTTACAAGCAATTAAGATAAACTAAGTTATATTGGCAATTGATTTAAAATAAATGTTTAGTAAACATTTTTTAAAATTTTGAATTAATTACCTTGAATAAAGAACACAAGCAAACCATATAATTAATCCAACAATGCTTTGGGCATCAAAAGTATTCTTGCTTGGACTGCCCCAAGGTAATGATTTGCAATTGGGATCTAAAAAGATTAATTTAATGATTAATACATAATTTCAAATATTCAAGCTAAGTGTAATACAATTTAATTTTTCACTCATACATATCATATTAAATATAAACTAGGAAATAAAATATGCATTAATACAAAGTATAAAAAAATTATAGAAAACACCAAACAAATATAGAAAATTTCCTAGATAATAATATGTTTGTTTCTTGTCTTTATGAATACTATATAATTCTATTGATTACTCCTGTATCAATATAAATTAAAATTTCTAAAGTTATCAAATATTACAAAATGGTATTAAAATTCAGAAATAAAATTCTTTAAATTTCAATTTTGCTAATGTATGAATGGTTAATTAAATATAAACTGATAAAATCTTCATAAAGAAAAGAAACGTAAACTTTATTAAAATTGTTCTCATTGAGATTTTTCATATATTTTAAATTGCAAACTGAATAACTGGTTTCATTAATATTTAGCAGGTCAATTTTAGACAAAAATTAACTTTAAAAAATGTCTTTTCAACCTGATTGAACTTAATAAATATCTAATGTAGCAGGATGATACAACAGGCTTAATTTTCTTGTAAAACAATGGAAGGGAATGTTATTTTTTAATATAAACAATAACCTGGTCAAAAGTATTCTGTGCTACATTCAATCCTTAAAAAGGACCATAGGACTTACTGTCCAATTTGCCTTACCCCACCAAGTTGAAAATATTTGAAGCCATCTATAACCAGCAAAATGTCCTTCAATCAACACAACAGCATACCCCACTGTCTCAACATTACTAATTTCCTGAGCACACAGTATGAAATAACTAATTTGAAAAACTTTTAATCTACATAGGATATCAAAAACACTACTCACAATTAGTAGACATATAACACAAAACAACTTTATTTCAAATCAGCAAAAAATTAAAAATTTATATTATGATGTGCAATTTTGTAAAAGTTGTCTATACATCATGTAGAATGTGTAGACAGCTTTTACAAAATTGCACGTCATAATATAAATTTTTAATTTTGTACATAACATGCATGTAAATTTCAGATATCATCTTCATATCTATCCTCACATTTTTTTTAAAAGTAAAGGCCTAAACATGAATGTGCAATGTAATACCCCTTTCGCACCGAGCATTTCGATCTAGAGTGTGACTAAGGTCGGAGAGTGTTCTGTGGTGCGAACGCTCTCGACCGTTTCAATCTTGACTGAAACGAGGTTCAATCACGATCGACTGGAGAGAGTTCTCGAAACTAGATCCAATCATAAGAGAGATCCCACAATTCCACACGTGTGAGAAAATACAAGATGGCTGCAGAACACGTGTCGGGATATCGACAGAGAAATAAAAAAGACAGCTGGAGAGACGATGACTTCTATCTATTATTAGATGTACGGCAAGAAAAAGTATTTATTTCTAACCAAANTTAGTAGATATAAAATTCCCCATAAAAATAAGTTATAGAATTGAAAATTTAAGAATTGGAAGAATAACAATGAAATTCTGTAAGCCTAATCATAATCTATATAGCATGAATGAGTCTTTAACAATGTATTATATAATCTTATTTCATAATATAAGATATATATATAAGGATTGATCAAATGAAACCAGTTCATGTAATGCAAGGGGAAGGGATGACATCTCATGTGATGTGATAAGCATACACCAATGAACAAGCATGTCTCTCACATTTTGTTTTTGGCATAGAGTAGTGAAAACATGGCCAGAGTTATTCAGAAACTGTCCAAGGTTGAAACATGGTTGAAGCCACATTTTGACCTTGGACAGATACCAAACAAGCATGCAATACAAACACCCCAACACACTAAAAAAATTCAAAACACAGGTCTCCTATGTTTTGAATTTTGACGACTGCATTTTTTGACATTGCAGGACATATGCTAGTGAACTTTGAATATCCTCACCTGAGCATCAATGCCAACCACTACAATGTAACCTTGGACAAGCTACAAATCCATAAAGAATAAATGACCAGGTATCATGTGGTCTGATTTTGTTGCATGCCAATGCTTGACTTCATGTTGCAAACAATGTGCAGGATGTTTTAGCATAAAAAGGTTGGGACGTTCTGCACCACTCTTCCTACAGCCCTGATCTGTCATCATGTGACTTTCATTTGTTTGAACCTATAAAAATAACTCTTAATGGACAATGCTTTACCTATGATGTGAAAATCAAGAAAGCAATCACCCAATGGTTCAAGGATCAACCAACATTGTTCTTTGCAAATGGTATCCATTGTCTTCCCAGGCAGTGGAATGTGTGTCTGGATGCCTATGGTGACTTTTTACTGAACAAAAGTGCATTCCAGTTTTCTTACATATTGCTTTAATTATACCATATCAATGAATGTACTGTTTCATTTATCTTAATAAATTTACTCAAATGAGGTTTATATGAAAACTATAATCCAGTTTTTAATAGTCAAACATTTAAAAGCCATAGTTTTTGAGTTAGATTTTATTAAATAATTTAAAATTAATCTAATAATTTTGAATTTTGATCTTACAAGATGGTGCTTAACTACCTTATAATTCTGTAGATCAACCTTCTTTGACTTTTTTAAAATTGCATGTATTTGAAAACAAATAGCTTTATGATTTTTGTTGTTAGTCCATGTTAAAGATATTATATATCAAATTAAAAGAGAAAAACTGGGGAGGGATTTGTTGATATAGGTTCGATTATAGATCATTTGAATTTAAAATAAACAAATGCAAAAATCAATTTTTTTGAAGCCTATGAGCTCAATCTGAGCTCTATTCAGTAATGGTTTATTTTCATTCTATTGATTGTTTCCTATCATCTGACAATGTATGCAACAGAATTTTAGTTTTTGGGTTTTGTTTATATGCCATCTCAGAAAATATGCAAACTAGTAATCAATTAAAAAACGCATTAAACTGTAATAAAAAAAATAGCAGGAAAACAATTTTTATTGTAAAAAGTTTTTTTTTGTCATCACAGACTGAATTAGGTATTATAATATCTAAGGTCTATGCTCATTGGAAATACAAGAAAATATGTTTAAATAATAACAAACAAATGGGCATATGTTTAAGTATTTAGGTTTTTTAGACAAACATATTGAGACATGAAATTGTATAGGCAAAGGTATTTAAAAGTTGGATTAAAGTTAGATAACTTAAAAATTAACCATCACACTATGAACAGATTAGTAAAATTACTTACAGTGACAGAAGTTCAGACAAAACAATTTCTTCACAGGAACATAAGATACAACTAACAAACATAGAATAACTGATAACACTATAATAATTAGATACACACAAGAACTGGATGTTTGAAGTTTTTAAAGCAGTCAAGAATAATCCTAGGCTCAGACATTTCCAAAAGTCAATAAAATTTTCTTCAGTGAGTTTTGAGCACCTTTTTGAAAGATGCCATGGAATTTACTCATAGGCTGAGAGCCACAGCAATAGGAATCCCATTGTGTATACAAACACTTGCCAACCAGTAGCATTTTGTATGCACCATCAGTAACAGGCCACTTTTCCCTTTATCAGCATTTTTAAAGAATTTGATATTACCACAAACACTTCATTTAATTAGTCTAATACCAATATGTATGACGAAGACATTGTATGTATTTTATTATGAACGACTAAAGCAAACCAGAACAATGTTCTCATATTCCTTTAATTGAGAAAGAATCAAGATTGATATTTTTATATATGTATGAGAAGAATTTTAGATCAAATGTGATAATTTTAAATGGCAGATATGATAAATTGCATCTTCAAGTCTGGAAATGTTAGTGCCCTTACATTGGTGGCAAAATCAATTATGGCCAAAATCATCATAAGGAAATGAGTTACTTTTACAGTTAGAGCAAATTATTGAGCAGTACTATAGTTTCTCTGCAAAAAAAGAAGAAACATATAATTCATCACTTAAGAATATACAGACTATATGATATGAACTTTCTCAAGAAAAGAAACCAGATGATTCTTTGAGATTTGTGAGATTTTACAAAGATTACAAATCTTTGTAAAATAGTAAAATATGCTGATGATGGTTTTGCCTTATTGCATTGCAGGGCCTCCCATGCATTGTGGTGTGGCAAATGAAAAACTTATTCTGCCTGATAAGAAAAAGAGATAAGAAATAAATTACAACCAGAAAAATCATTGTCCTTAATAATTGCAGTGAAAGTCAAAAAACTGACTGACAGCAACTGTCATGAATACACTAACATTAATAAAGCAAATCATAGCACAAATGCATATAGTGGGAAGCACTCATCATGCAACAATATCAAGACTCCTGACAGATCAAGATGGAACACACAAATCTAGGTGTAGATTTATGATGTATTCTATAAAATTAAAACCTTTGTGATGTTAAGAATATGGCAAAAGCTTTATACTCTAACAGTGTTTATGGCAATAGCTTTATAAAATATCATATGCAGAGGTATATTAAATACCTTTAATAAGCAAAATTTAATTTAAGCATTGAGCAATATCAATGTTAATAAAGAATTTTTTCACTTTTTATGCTGTCAGCATTTTTCTATCAATGCTCCTGCTATTCCCCATACTAAAGGTTGGCAAGTATGTGTACAAAAGTATACAGATTTCAATCATCATGTACTGTACATACTATTAAACAGAAATTCAAACATTTCGAAATAGTCAAATTTTCTCTCTCTTTCTGTTCCCTATACGACTTGATGTATCTTGACATCGTATACTGCTGTTCATTGAAATTGCAATACCAACAAAGACATGAGTTACAACAATGAAATTTATTTCAATGATGACATTTAGTACAAGACATAAATGATTTCAATTACAGATCTATAATTGAAAAGTAACATGCTAAATTCAGTATTTTGTCCACCTTTAGTGGTTGTAACTGATTGCACACAGCAAATAAGATTCTGGATGGATGTTTGTGGAATATCATTCCATGCAGATTCAATATACATCCACAATTCAGCAGTTGTAAACTGCATGTGATGAAATAAGGTGATTTTTGAGCCAATTTTTGAGCAATCATATCTCACAAATTTGATGGAGAATAAATTGGACAACCATGCAGGCCAAGGAAGAACTGATACTAGTTGGTCATGGTAGTTCCAGGAATGGTCTGTAAGAGGCAAGACTTCTGGTTCCAAGATGTACTGCTGACTGTTCATAGTGCCTGTGATTTGTATATGGTGAAAGCATGATTAAAATGTAATAGCATCCCAAACCATAATGCTCATAGCAGAATTGCTATGACATTGCAATGCACCCTTCCAGATACCATTCCCCACAGTATCTGCAAATGAAGATCCAGCTATCATGAGTCCAAACATTATATCTAGACTCATTGGAAAACATGATTTGCTCCCATTCAGCAATCCAATGTCTTCATTCTTTGCACCTTGAAGCCTCTGATGTCTACAGTATAAAGTCAGAAGACATCACAGTAATACATTCTGAGCTATGAACTCTTGCTGCAGCAATCATCCTCAGTTGTTGTGATAATATTGTGTATGCTGCTGTTTGATTCATTACCGCCATGTATACCAAGAGCCTTCTTCCTGTGCTGACATAGCCATAGGTGCTCCAGAACCCTCACAATTATGATTAGAACATTCTTCTGTCCAATATCTCCAAATAAGAATAACTTCACTCAATGTGTGAAGCAATTTCATGATATAACAAACTGCCTTCTCTTAACCAAACAATTCTTTCTCTTTCAAAGTCCATCAACTGTTTATATTGTTGTCTTGTTATGTGGTGATGCACGTTTACATATTAACAAAGTAACACAAATTGAGTTCATTGATAAAATGTTCAGAATTTGCTTTTTCAGCTCTCATATCCTCAGTCACATATTGCAACCTTCACTGGGGTATCCTATTTGAATATGCAGCTAATATTTTAATCATTTGAATTTCCTACACAACAACCTGGCTGCCAAGTTTTTGGTTGATTCAATAACTTCTCATTGATGTTATAATTTCAATGAAGAGCAGTGTATATATTATGGCATAATATAAATGGCAAATTCAATTGTTCCAGTCTCTTACAAAACAAAGACAAAGACCATGCATTGAAAAGAGGAAAATCATAATGACAGTGTTACTGACACAACATATTGATAAACAAATGATTACCAGCTCAATGGTATAAAAAATGATATAATAAACATTAACAAGATAAAATACTACTGAAAATGCTTAATTTGTTATAAATAATGACTACTTATCAGTTTACTTAAGATTTAATCATATACTCACAAATTTTCATCAATAATAAATATAATCAAGCATTAAGGGAAATTCAAATATTTTCTGTTAAATGAAAAAAAAAACTTCATTTGGAATATAACACCTTAGTTTGTAAGACAATTATTTTAGAATTTAAAATAAGCTGTTGACTGCTACTCAATGGAATTTCTGACAAAAATGTTTAAGTTATTAAAAATATTGATAACACAATAAGACAATGCATAAAAGCTGGTAATTTCTTGAAATATAAAAATTCACTAACCACTGCTTAAAATATACAATTGAAATAGTAAAATAATATTTCTTCAATGAGTATCAAGATCATATATACTTGTTATTAAGGTTGAGGCTTATTCACAAAAATTATTTTTTGTGAATAAGCCTCAACTTTAATAACAAGTAAAATAATAATTGAAAGTTAATACTTTAAATTATTGATTGTTTTGACTAGATAATCAATTTCAACAAAATAAATCCAAATATTTTTTGTGTCTGTCTTACTATCAGTTTTGTTTTTTATTTAATTTTCAGCAATAATCTCTGATGTAAAAAAAAGTCATAATAGCTACATACAAATAAACTGTACTCTGATCACTAATATAATCTGATTATAATTCAGAAGAGAAATTTAAACTGCATTGTTCAGTAATAACACAGGGTGTTTCAAAATGAATATCAGGGTTTTAAGGCTTTGTAGTATTTATTACATTAAGTTACAATTATAAATAATACATCAAATGAAAGAGCAACTCAAACAGTTTTATTGGATATACCTGTGATGCACTGTTTCCTCTGTCTTCCATTAGAATGCATTACTGTAGTAGCAAAGAGGGCAACTAGCAAACAAAGCTTTGTGTGTTTTACAGTTACTGAATCTGTAGTTACAGTGCAACATGCATTCCATATTAAGTTCCATTGTAATCCTCCAAGTGATAATAATAATATCCATAGATGATATCATCAGTTTGAAGACACTGGCTGTCTTTGTAAAGGGAAGAGTACGGGACGACCAAGAGTGACTGAAGAATGTGTTGAACGAATGAGAGAGTCTTTCACGTGTAACCCCTAAAATCAGTGCAGAAGGCTAGTAGTGAATTAGCAATGCCAGTGACATCTGTGTGGAGAGTTTTAAGGAGACACTTACAACTACGTCCTTATCGTTTGCAGTTGTTACAAGCTGTAAAGCCTACAGATATAGTTTACATGCCAACTTTACAAACGAAATGTTGCTGTATGACAATGAAGATTTTCTGGATCGTGTCGTCTTCAGTGATGAATCAACATTTCACCTAAGTGGAAATGTGAACACTCATAATGTGCCTACCTGGGGGTCAGCAAATCCCCAGGAGATGGTACAGTTGAAACGAGACTACCCAAAATTGAATGTTTTTTGTGCCATATCCCAGCAGAAAGTTTATGGGCCTTTCTTTTTCGGTGAAGCAACTGTAACTGGTGTTTCTTATCTTGATGCGCTACAACTGTGGCTCTTTCCTCAATTGGAAGAAGATGAACCAGAGAACTTTATTTGGCAGCAAGATGGCTCAGGATGCAATTGGTTAAATGATGTTATACCCAACTGCTAGATTGGCCGCCAGGGGCTGGATGACAGAGCTTGTTTTACCTGATCTGACACCATGAGACTTTTACCTTTGGGTTCATAAAGGATCACATGTGCACGCCTCCGCTACCAGCTGACCTACCTGACTTAAGAAATAGGATTGAAGCAGTTGTTGCAACAATTACTCCAGACACACTGATCAAGGTTTGGGAAGAACTCGCCTATCGACTAGATGTGTGCCATGTGATGAATGGTGTTCACGTTGAACATTTGTAGGAAAAACTGTTTGAGTTGTTCTTTCATTATTTATAATTGATTAATACTACAAATATAATTAATAAATACTACAAAGCCTTAAAACCACGATATTCGTTTTAAAACACCCTGTATAATATAAACATTAATAGAATATCATTAGCAATGCTATTAATACAAATTTTAATAATATTCAAATTATTCAGAAATACTAATTATAATGTAGTAACAAAAAATTATACTACAGTAAATATATTGAAATAAAAATGTAATTCAATTATATTTGTTCTTGAATTTACTATGACTATAATGCTTAAAAAAATTATTTTTACAATCAAAAATTAGTCTAAAATAAGCTACTATATGAGAAAATGTAAAAATTGTTAATTCTTGAGAAAAACTTTAATGCAATAGTTCTGTAACAAAACATTTTATCATCTGAAATCACAAAAAAATAATCACATTAACATTTTAGTTCTGAACAATATTTATTTTCTTAATTAATGATGTTTAATTAGAATTTGCTTTATCAATATGTGTATCTATTTCTTATTTCCTGAATGTAAAAAATATCTTATTTGAAAAAACTTAAAAATTTTTTACATTAATCCAGATTCATAACAATTTATTGATAATATTATAATGATAACATTATATGTATTAATCAAAATAGAATTTCCAAAATTACTTTTAAATAGTTCATTATGCAATTTTTTTTTCTCTCTTGTTATTCAGTTACTACAGCATTAACACAGAAAAATAAAGAAAAAGAAACACATGTAAACACTGAAGAAATAATCATACCTTCCTCATCAACCAGAGGTGTTGATCCATTTTCTGGAGAGTGAAACAGACAAGAAAACAAGAAACATATGTAAAGAACAAAAGAATATCCATTAAATATTTAAGAAATTATTTAATTCACATTAAAATAAACATATAAAAATATTACAAATTATTATTACATTCTCACATTCATCATTTTTTTTTCAATAAAGATATATTTCCTACTTTATTAATAAAAATTGATAAAGTACATAAATACATGTTTAAATGATATACTTTCATGTTTAAAACAAAAAACTTCTATTATAGCTATTATAAGTCTAGTTTATATTTGAATAATCTTTTTAATATATAATTTGAATAATAAGAAATTTATACTAATTTTTTAATATGAATTATATAGTTAAATTAATGTGTTTTAACATATTAAAACACATTAATTTGGTGATATTTGGTGAACATTAATATGGTAAAAGCCATAAGTTCCTGGAATAATCACTAATAGTCTAATGCATAATACAATTTTTGCACTAACACATTATTTAAGTTACATAACAGATTAAATTTATCATAACAAAATTTAGTTTGAATGTTTTACACAATGCATTAAGAATGTAATAAGGACTAGCTGCTGTATAACAGTATGACAAACTTTTGTTTTGTTTTTAATGGACAGAAATATATACTAATTTTTCATTTTCTCCTATTCTTTGAATATTTAAAAAAAGTTTTCCTATTTCTGAAGATAAAGACAAAATACATAGATAATAATTTTTACTTTTCAAAAAATTATTTATGAACAACATTTTTAAAAATTCTAAAACTTCTTTTTGATCAAATGAATGATAACTGGTTCAGAATTAAATACTTTGAAGAAATCCACATTAACTATTAACTAATATCAAATATATAAGCTGGAACTTACATATAATACAAAAACATACCTCCACATACTTTCTAGCAGTTTTATTTTTGTTATATTTCTGATATTTTAAAACTTATGAAATCAAAGAATGGTGACAATATTCCAAACTTGGAAATTGCTGTAGACATTCAGTTTCATGTAAGCTGTAACCTTATGCAGGCCCATGAATGTGGTAAAAAACATTTACTGCTTGGAAGGTATGTTTCTATGCTAATAATATATTTCATTTATTCAATCTAGGAACTTATGGTTGTCTCCTCTTGCAGATTTAATACACTATTCTTTTGTATATTGCAATTCAAAATACTAATGAACTTAATAAATTGTTAAAATTTATTAAATTTTTAACAATTTGTTTCAGTTAAGACTTACTGTAAAAAGAGTGCTGACTGTAGTAAAATATTTCAACTAACTTATAAGCAATATATAATTATCAGAGTATAGATTTTATAAATTTATTCATAGTTTTAAAAAATTCATTTTAAAAATCAATAAAATTACAGTTGTGTTTCAATGTTATCAGTCAGCTGACAATTCTTATTTTCATGTTTCACTCAAATATGTAAGATAATGTCACTGTTTAATATAAAGTGCACACCTTAATTTCTTCATACTCATTAACAGAATTTTTGTCAACAGAACCAGCATCTATTTACAGTGCAAGTAAAGTAAATTATGTATCACTGTCTTCCATGATAACAAAGTTGGAAACCCCTTCACTTTCCATGCTATGTTCTTCTGAATCAACATTGAATTTTATAATCACATTTTTCTATATACAATCATCTTTATTGCTGTTTAAAGTACTGGAAATGCATTATTTCTTAAAAGAGCACTGTAGAACTTATTCTGAAATTTTCTTCCAAGTACTTATGTCACTAATGTAATGGATTAACACAACTGAGCTAAGTTGATCACTTTAATGACTTTAATAAACCAATGTTTGTAATAGGAAATATTTAAAGTAACCCAATTGAATTATTTCCTCTGTTGACTATTTATTTAAATTAATAAAATAAGATTAAGCAAAATAAGATTAGTGACCTCTGGTTCCATGCAAGTTATAACTTACATTGAATCTAAAATGTACCCCATTTTCAGACAATGTGAAAAAGTGCCTCTTACAATTTGAGTAAATACAGTAATTTACAGATTCTAAAGCTAGATTTTATCAACCTAACAGTTATCAGGTTAATTAAGAAATACAAAAATTACTTATTGTTAAACAAAACAATACAGTATATCACGGGTTTACTGTATAAAACATAAGGTATTTATTGAATTCTATAAAATAGCTGTTTCTTGTTTGTCTTATATGGTTATTCTTTATTCTTACAAATTTAATTACCTTTTAATTTTTGTATATGTTCTATTTAATTATATATATATAATTAAATAGAACATATATATAGCATACTTCATTTTATGTACCATTTTAATACACATTTAAAATTATAAAATTATTATAAAAATAGTTAAGAAAATTAAAAAGTTTTTAAGAAGATTTTCTCTACTAAAACTACTGGAAAAAATAAAAGGTTAGCCAATTGATACACAAATATTTCTAGCTTAGAATTATATACTTATTTGGTAAATCAATAATACTTAACATTTTAAAATTTTTCTTCAATACTCAGATTCTAAAATTATGTAAAAATACTATACTACTTAATTCTTTGCCTCACAATTTTCAAAAAGATATGTCATCCTCAAGAAATCATTGCAATTATTCATCCCTAATTCACAGTAAAAACAATTCTAAAAGTAGTTATAAAAATAACAACAACTTACGACTTCCATTATCCTTGACCAAAATATTTTCAGCCATTGTGATTTTTCTTACTTGACTATTACTAGATGTGCGAATACTAGAAATAAAATTTAATTTCATTTATAGTTTATTATTTTAAGTACTTATATTAAGATTTATTGAAATATTAAATCAAAGAAAATNAATATATTGAAAAATATAACAATAAAAAATTATACTTCAGATGTTAATTCAGTATCAAAAACGTAAAATATTTGAGTAGCCCAAGACATAGCCAAAGATTGCAGCGCCACAGCACTAGCGAAAATTTAAATTTGTCGACTGGAATTTCTTCAGATAAATGACACTCTACTGTAGTTTTAAAAATGTTAAAGTATATTTACTTACTTATACCAATTGGTCAATGTCATCATAACATAGAGTGAAGCCAGGGCAAACATAAAATGAAAGAAAGACCAACTGTAAACTACTGCATCATCTTCATTATCCCAAACACGTCCTTTCTCTTCATCACCTGATTTTCCTTCTAGAAAAAATTTTTAAAAACAATTTTAATCATCATAATAATTAGCTATTTTACAATCTATCAGTTTCACTACAGTCAACACTCACAATCTGTTTTAAACTTAGTTTACACAGCATGCAATGTTCTATTTTTCTTATGTTATTTTAACAACTTGAAAATTTTCATCTTGTATAAATTTGAATATTTCA